TCAATAGTCGCTTGTCTTCTAATTTCAAATCACACACAATCGCAGGGCCTCGCTCCAATCCAGTCGATAAGTCCATGTTCAACCAAGCGGACAACGTCAGTTCATCCGTTTCCCTTTGGAGTCCTCGTGTCTCGCTAAGATTGGCATGCCTCAACGTGCGCACTTTGCTGCAGATTGGCCAACAGGCAGCACTTGCCCGCACACTAGAGACCCTATCGATCGATATTTGCTGTTTATCAGAAACCCGCCTGCAAGATTCGAGCTCTGTGCTTACCCTGAGATCCCCCACGTGCGACACTGGCGGCACATTCTCATTGCGCCTATCTGGCGATGATGCAGCTTCAAATGCCGGTCAAGCTGGCGTCGGCATTGTTTTGAGTCCCCGGGCTGAAGCTGCCCTGCTTGATTGGATTCCAGTAAACAGTAGGATGTGCGCCGTTAGATTAGCTGGTTCGTTCCGTGCTTCGAAGTCGCGCGGGGACAAACGGTGCCTGTTTGTCATTGCGGCCTACGCCCCTACAAACTGTATCACTGATTCGATAAAAGATGATTTCTACCAGCAACTTCACGAGCTCCTTCGTTACAGAAGAAGCACGGATACTGTGGTGCTGGCTGGCGATCTAAACGCCCAAGTCGGAAAATTGTCCTCTGATGAGCTTCATCTGGGCGGCCAACATGGTGTAGGCTCCCGTAATGATAATGGTGAGCGATTGCTCCAGCTGTGTGAAGATGCTCGCCTGTTTCTCGCGAGCACTAATTTTCGACACAGCACCCGCAGAAGTGTGACTTGGCGGCCACCAGCCTCGGGCCAGTCATGGACGCAAATCGATCATATCGCGATCAGTTACCGCTGGAGAGGCTGTGTCCAAAACTGTCGCTCGATTTGGAGCACGAGCGTGGACTCTGACCACGCACTTGTCTGTGCCGACCTCCTGATGCGCTTCGGTGGACGTCCGCAACGTCGATGTGAACGGATTGACACTAGCCAGCTGGCGAAGCCAGATGTTCTGAATGTGTACCAAGATGCGCTGACATCTGGGCTGAGTAAGCGCCCACTAAACACCGTTGAAGATCACTGGTCGCACACTCGTCAAGCGTTGCTATTAGCAGGCATGTCTTCATGTGGCAAAACAAATTGCCAAACCGGACATTGGGTCTCTACACAGTCTCTGGAACTTATGGATGCTCGCCGACGTATTCCGGCTGGAAGCGAATACAATGAATCTCGCAAAAATCTCAGGGCGAAACTACGTGCTAGCCTAAAGAAGGACCGCGAAACCTGGTGGTCTCATCGTGCATCTGAGATGGAAACAGCCGCTGCCATTGGTAATCATCGTAAGTTATACCGTCTGATACGGGCAACAGGCAGCAGGAGACCTGGTGTTAGCGAGACCATACGCGACGAGAGTGGGCAGATGATCCACAGCCTGTCAAAACGCTTGGAGCGTTGGGCTGAACACTTTGCTATGCAATTTAACCAACCTGAGTTATCACTTTCTTCGGGCATTGAACGCCCTTCTCCTTGGGCCGTCTCCCTGGATCCGCCCTCACGCGCTGAAGTCGAACGTGAGATCAGGCTGTTGAAATTGCATAAGGCCGCAGGAGCAGATACTACTCCTCCAGCCCTCTTCAAGTTCGGTGGACCTGCTCTAATAGGTGATCTACACGAGTTGCTAGTAAAACTTTGGGAGCAGGAGACAGTCCCGACAGACTGGAACCGCTCCGTCATTGTCCCAATTTTCAAGGGAGGCTCCCGTTTGGTATGCGGCAATCATAGAGGGATCAGTCTGATTTCGATTGCCTCTAAATTGCTTGCCTCTCTCATTCTCCACAGACTGACTGGCACTCGTGAAAGCCAAATTCGTGAAGAGCAAGCCGGATTTCGTCGAGGTCGGGGCTGCATCGACCACATCTTCACACTGCGTCAAGTGTTGGAGCACCGCCATGTTTATTGGCGACCCACCGTTGTCGTGTTTCTTGACATAAAAGGTGCCTTCGACTCAGTCGATCGATGTGCCCTTTGGGACTGTCTGTTGAGGAAGGTGTGCCTGATAAATATGTAAACATTATCAAAGCGCTGTACGCACATAGTTCGGGCAGGGTGAGGGTTTATGGCAAACTCTCGCCACCCTTCAGTATCACCAGCGGTGTGAGACAAGGATGCCCGCTGTCACCTTTCCTCTTCAACTTCGCTATTGATGAAGTCATGGAAACAGCGTTCGCTGGACACGACCTAGAAGGTGTGGAGCTACTCCCTGGTGAGCGACTTCTTGACTTGGAGTATGCAGACGATATTGCCCTAATCTGTGACGGCTCCCAAACATGCCAAACAGCACTGAACCGATTAGCACTGGCTGTCAGTCGTTTTGGGCTATGCTTTGCTCCATCAAAATGCAAAGTACTTCTCCAAGATTGGCAGGGACCCAATCCTGCGCTAACGCTTGGTGGTGATCTGCTAGAAGTCGTTCAGGAATTCAAGTACCTGGGCAGCTATATTAGCACCCGTGAAATTGAAGATGAGGTTACGAACCGTATAGCAAAAGCTCGAGGTGCTTTTGCCAATCTCCGCCACCTGTGGCGCAGACGCGACATTACTCTCGCCCTCAAGGGCAGAGTCTACAACGCAGCCGTCCGTTCAACTCTCCTATATGGCTGTGAAACCTGGCCCATCAGGTCGACAGACATGAAGAGACTCGTCACGTTCGATCATCGCTGCCTTCGCAGCTTAGCTCATGTCTGGTGGGAACACCGCGTGAGCAATGAGCGTGTTCGACGTCGCGTATTTGGTGCAGGAAGAGCGAGTGAACCGCTCAGCACGATTATATCACGCACCAGGCTCCGATGGCTGGGCCACGTCTTGCGCATGCCAGCACACCGACTCCCACGACGTGCATTGTTTGCGCGTTGTGGGTGCGGTTGGAAGAGGAGGAGGGGAGGCCAAGTGATGACTTGGTCGCGAGAAATGAAAACCCTCACTTCGAAGTTGGCGTCGGTTGGTGCATCCCGACTGCCTGGCTGGGGTCCTAAGGACGGTGAACACGTTTGGCTGGACACACTTGCTGATATGGCTAGGAGCCGGCCCCAATGGCGTTTGTGTTGTGAGTTCCTTTGTCCATCCCTCTCCTGTTTAGCATCCCCCTCCAATCACGATCTCAATCGTTAGGCATAATATGACTTTCTTTTACGGCAGCCAGCTGTTAGCTCTCCGGAACGATGTCCATCCGTTACTGGGGACTCAGCGGGCGTGCCACTGTTGTTTTTCTTTTCTTGCCTTTTGTATTGCGGCACAATAGCTGAGGTGTTTTCCACCTCCAGCTAACGTGTAATGATGATGATGATGATTTAGCAGCGTGAATTTTTATAGCCACCTATCGTTCGCTACTTCAAGTGCAATCCTCGGTCCTAACTATCACCGAACAGGCATCCAGAGGTGGTCGATCTGTTCGCTTGTCTGAGTGGCGGTGTCACCTCTGATGGCCCCATTATCGGGGTGGTTATTGCGCTTGTCGACGAAACTATTGTAACCTTCCGAAGACACAGTCATCTGTGCAAACAACGGGGCGTCAGTCTATTAGTCAAGTGCAGTGCGTGCAATTCCGCAATAATTCCGGCGTTACTCTATGAATCGGAAACAAGTCCACTAGGCGCTGAAGACATGAAGCGATTGATCTTTGTTTGCTTCAACAATCGCTGTCTACGAAGGGTGTGGTGGCAACATCACGTAGGCAGCGCAGAGGTCCGAAACCTTGTGCTTGGAGTTAATAGTGCCAGTTTTCCGAATGTTATTCTCCGACATCGCATGCGTTGGCTCGGTCACGTTTTGCGCATGCCAGCCCATCGCCTTCCACATCGAGCACTATTAGCACTCCCAGGGAGCGATTGGAAAAGGTGCCGCGGTGGACAGCCAATGACTTGCAGAAGGAGCATGAAGAAGGCAACCTCAAGTTTGGCGGCAGTCGGACCAGCCCGTCTTTCAGGTTAGGGACCACGAGGTGCGGAATCTCAGTGGTTGGAAGCATCGGATGTCATGGCCCACAACAGACATTAGTGGCATCAATGTTGTTCTGCCATTTTATCCCCACTTTATTGCACTCCAAAAACTCACGGAACCAAAAAAACAAAATAGCATGTGTAAAACCATGTTTTTATCGCATTTCATGTTTGTATCTTCTCCATTTTTTCCTCTTTCATGGTTCTGATGGCACAATGTCTGTTAACAAAATATATATACACACACAAACAGATATATATATATATATATATATATATATATATATATATATATATATATATATATATATATATAAAATCGTTGTTTGACAACTGGTGCTAGCGTGACACCGCTGATGTCTAGTTAGAGTACCGATCAGTCCAGTACTTGGTGATACCCGGTGGGTCTTTTGATGCGTTGACCACTAACACGTCCAACAAGCTTTTGCTCCCAACCGTTTGGTGTGCATGCATTACTTGCACGGTTCGTCGATCGCATATTTCTCCGCTTACTACTTCTCGGGCCGAAAGCATAACAATACTGTCTTGTAATCTGGAAATCGCGAATTCAAACATGCGCAGGTGACCTGGTGACCCTTACAATACCCTTAACTCACGCGCGACTGGTGGTGGTTGCGTGGCAGCCAAGCGTCGGTAGTGCCTACCGGCGTACTGCTGATGTCTTTCGCCTTGCAATTTGTTAGGCGCTTCTCCATACGCACACATACACACTCCTTTGGCGATCCTATTAAGAAAAGAGAGTGAGTCGGTCGACTTTTGCCGTTTTCTTCGCTGGGATATACAGAACCCATTTCGTTATCTCAGGTCCCATTCCCATTATAACAACGGAGAAATCATTAGCCTTCAAACAATCGACTAAGTGGTGTAAACTTTGCGTTTTTTGTTTTGTACTTCTTTATTCTTCACAGTTAAACCATTGATCACTTTAATATGACATGTATACTACCTGCACTAAGCCCTTTTCACTCAATCCACGCGTCCTGTTTCAGGAGGCTGTTGAGGTTGCTGAGCGACTGGGCTATCCTGTCCTGATCCGCGCCGCCTTCACACTTGGTGGTATGGGCTCCGGCTTTGCGCAAAACGCCTGGGAGTTAGAACAGTTGGCCACTCGTGCTCTTTCGCAAACTACGCAGATTTTTATCGACAAGTCGCTGAAGGGCTGGAAAGAAATTGAATATGAGGTACTTGTTTGTCTTTATGGTCTCCATATTTGTTTGTGGGCCGGTTTTCTAAATTATCCGGGTCCCAACACTTCGCATTCCATTGGGGGTTCATCGCGGTAGCTTCTAAGTCGGACAACATACTAAATGGCCCTTCCATCTTATTGGAACTCATTTATAGCGCTTGTCCCCGGCTCATCCAGGAGCCGAACCCATGATCTAGACCCCAGCGACTTATGCCATTAGGCCAAGGGTGACAACAATACTATTATGTATATTTCTCGAGGTTTCGAGCGACTATGCCTACAGTGGACAGACAAGATTTTTTGTGAAGTTGTGGTTAAGTGACCGAAAACTTGTTATTGGCGGCAAACCGTCATGATTCAAAAGTTAACTGTGATGTAGCTCCGTTCATCCCTCATTGTCATGCAAGATACGGAGTTTGAGGATGACAACACTGACACCTAAAGCCACGGCTTCCTTATAACAGCTACCTAGAACACAGCATCTAGAAGCTTTACGGGTGGATACCTTGGTTACTTAGCTATGTCCTACCTGACTGCTATAGGCGTACCCCGCTCTTCGTAAAGCTCGGAACTTGCATAACTGTAGACGAGGAGCTACGCTTGTGAATTGCTTGCTACTCCTACCTAAACCTCTGCGTTACTCGGCACTTGTGCACGTCATTGACTCAGTTTTTATCCATCTTCGTTTTTCTCATAATTATTTCCCTTGTCCTCTTGTTTGTTCATTTGATGCTTCTGATGGCCATAACATGTACTTGTTGTATCGTCCTGGACACGAATCGATTTTATTCTAAATCTCACTTCCTATTATCAGTTCGCCACCGGCTTCCAGAAAGATCAACCATCTGTTGCATCTTTTGTCTTTTCTATATTCTCTCATCGCTAGCGTTAACGAAGAAGCCTTTTTTGTACACATTCCACTACACAGCCGAGCCGCATTTATTCACTTTTCAAATTTCAGGTTGTTCGAGATGCTTACAATAATTGCATCACCGTGTGCAGTATGGAGAACGTGGACCCTGTCGGAATTCACACCGGGGAATCAGTGGTGGTTGCTCCGGCACAAACGCTAACCAACACCGAGCACAACATGCTCCGTTCGGTTGCGATCAAGGTGATTTGTACTAAGTTGCTTCCTTTCATTATTTAGTGTTGATTTTCCCCCTCCATACACTAATTTTCAAAGCGTACTCGTCACAGCAACAGTCAGATATCCGCTACATTTTTGGAGATTCAGTGGGACACGGTTTCGCTTTTTGGGACTCGTGAGTAGCGCGCCTTTTATCTGTCCAGTGTGGGGATAGAATACACGGCCCATCACTGTCCAATCAGTGGCTAAGATTACAGGGCCACGAGAGACGAACGAAAGCAAGCGTGAACAGCTCACGGGCTGTGATATCTGAGGACTTCGCTTCCATTGGCATCCGCGTTCTCAATGTCCAGAGGGTAGTGTTTGCTCCTAGAGGCACAGATTCCATGACTAAGCCACAAAATATCCGATAGTGTTATAATTTAAATAGAGAGATTGTAGATGTTTTTTCAAACAGGAAGATCAGGTGCAACTTACTTGATGACTCAGACATTTCGGGTTTTCTCATCAGTTACAAACATGCAGCCAGAGATAGTCCGCAATTAAGGTTGGTGGCGGCCTACTACACTTCCCGCTTCTAAGGTGGGTTGAAGATCATTCACATGCACGTGCTACTCGAGGCCATTGTAACCGAACGAGTGTACCCACCGCCGCTCTGCGTGCAGTCGCAGCTCTGGTCCTTGGTATCATATAACATTACGTTCGGATGGGCGTTCGCCTGTTTCTGCTTGATGAAACTGCACTAAATGACTGAAAGATCTCATATCTTACATCCCCTTATTTTCCTATCGATTTTTTACTAATTTTCCGCTGAATGACGCAGGGGATGTTAACCGATATCATTGGAGACTTGCCACACACTTATCTTCTAAATTCTTACCTGCTGTTTCGATTTTGTTTTTCCACCTACACACTTCCACATTGCATTATCACCTGACCATTGAGTGGCTCTGAGTGAATGATTCCGTCCAGTATAGCATTGGCTTACCCACATATCGCTTCCATCCATGCAGTTAGGCACACAGTAGGCTCTTCGGTATCCTGCTCACATCCATACGGCGGATAGGTCCCATTCATCTCAAGTGTCACAGTAACAGCATGCTGCAATCCACTGTGCACCACGGAGCCCCGGCGAAGCACTTTCATGTTAGGGACTCTGTCACTCTAGCAGATGCGCAGAATCAGATTCAAACAATGCTGATGGAACCGTTCCAGATGCCGGATGTTCACCTTGTAGACTATCCTTGTTTCGATGGTGTAGTAAGGAATCAAAAGTACCTGTGTGTCTGTGGTTCTAACGGTCACTTGAATATTATTTCGGCTCCGATGTTCAAGTTTGCCAAACGCAAGACGTAGATTGGCACAAATGGATCAGCAAGGATCACACTACATTTCTAATCAGGTTAGAGGGCCTGTGCTTTCACAAGACCCACCCTGCGATTCGCCCAGCAGTCTGCCTGTTATCGTCCTCTAGCCGAACTACTTGTGGTTGGCTTAGCAATGAATGCTACGGAGAATCTGTATCAGGACGTTGTTTTCTAAGTGCCAATACTCCTTTAATATGAATCATTTTAAAAAATATGTTTAAGTCGTGAATTTACTCCCTTGTTACGTCAAAGACGTAACACTACATTTTCTCTGTCAACTCTCCAGTACCAACCGTCGATGCACTAATCAACATTTTTTCGATGGAAGGCGCCCATCGTTTCTTTTGCTATCTCGAAGAGATCCATTGGACAACATCAATGCAGTCTGCCAAGTATCGCGTAATTTCCACCCAGCTTCATTTTCCTGGGATGGCCTAGTTTCCATAACCTTTCTGATCATCCCCATATACCTTTCTAGATGTGATGAAGCAGGGATCCTGGTTTAACCCAACTGTTCTATCAGCTTGTGACTTTTCATCCTCTTTGTCTGCGCGTATTGAATGTGTACACAGTTGGGTGAGATTTTTTGTGATCTTACGCCTTGTTGCATGTTTGTGATTGAACATAATGCACGAAACGACGACGCCATTTCACAAACTACGCGTTCTTATTTTCCCGTTTCAAATAATTTCGCCTCATTGCTTGCTGTACTCTCCCACATTCCCACTTCTAGGTCGCTTGTCACCTACACATTGTGGGGGAGTGTAACATTCAGTTCGCATTGGATCCACACTCGCCCACCTACTACATCATCGAGGTGAACGCCCGACTGTCTCGTAGCTCTGCGTTGGCCAGCAAGGCCACCGGTTATCCACTTGCCTACATTGCGGCTAAATTGTGCCTCGGACGCAGCCTTCCCGAGCTAACCAACGTTGTCACAGCTGATCAGACGACCGCATGCTTCGAACCGAGCCTAGACTATTGTGTGGTCAAGGTTCCCCGGTGGGACCTGAGCAAATTCACAAGGGTTTGTTGCTCCCTTGCTTCGTTTCGATTTTACTTACTATTTTGCGACCATTCTTCAGAGTAATTCGATTAGTTTTTATGATAGGAACTCACATTTTCCTACAAACCGTGCTTGCGACTCAGTATGTATTGTTGCTGCGCTGAAAATCATTTGTTCGAGTGCTAATTATGTCTTAACTATTTTTGTTGAAATTTGGTTCCCCTCCTTGTTAGGTGACAAGCCATGTTATCTCAATGAGGCTCACCTAGTCCATGCTTCATTTCTTGCGTTGCCAGATGATTTATACTGTAACCACCCAGGTGTAAAGTTTTATCTTCGTCTCTGGCTGAATCAGTAAAAGCGCTCCCACTGAAGGTGTGTCCTCTCTCCATGCTTAGCGGTGCCGTTGTGGAGTTTCGGAGTTCCATCTCGCGTGTGGGATTTTTCTCGCTCACTTTATGACCGGGACCGTGATCATTCTGAACTCCGTTCGTTTATTTCGAATTAGAACGACATAACAATCTTGTCGCTACTTTAGTTGCTCTCCTACATACTCACTTGTCTACCTCTGTGTTTGTTACTCATTTCCACAATCTATGTGATCCAAGTTACCTATTTTGACCTCGCTAACAGCGCTCAGATGTAGTATAGGAGCCGCGCGTCATTTTGTTAGGCTTCGTAAAGTCCGCTTATCGAAGTGATTCGCGGCCCTGATCAACACAGTGATCTCCATTTCGCCCCTACTTGGAGCTCACCACAATTGACCACCAACATCTGGTAAAGCACTGGACCTTGGTCCTTTTGAAATTCGCCAACAGTGTGTATTCCATGAACTCAACAATCGATTCGAACTCATCGCGTTACAGATACTAGCGGCCAGTGGTTAAATGATCCGATATGACTTGACTTTCCAGGGGCCATCGATCACTTGGACCACCGCATCCGTCTTCACAAGCTTTAAGGCTACGGGATTTAAACTCGTTTTAGTTATGATTACTGGTTGGAAGCAGCAATTAGAGTTTGATCTGTTTAGCTGCATCTAATGTCACTCAGAAACAAAGACCAGTTATGTTATGTTGCGCTCAATATATTTTGCGTCTGCAAAGTGTTTGTCCAGGAAGTTCTTAAATTCCGACACCGACTTTGCCTCAACTACGTGCTGCGGCAGGTCGTTCCATACACTCACCACTCTGCGTTAGATTACAATTTTTGTCTTCATTGGTGACCGCAGTTGCGGGTTCATTGTTCGTTGTCCAATTCAAGTGGGGTAAAATGTGTCGTTCCACTGAGTCCAATTCTAGGACCGCATTCACCCCTGTTCTTTGACAAGCTCGCGAGTGTAATTACCTAGAACATTTGCCAATAGAGTCAAGAAATGCCCAGCAATCGATAATCAGGAAAGTTGCGGCTTAGCACTGACGGGACTGAACGATGCTTCTGAGGAAACTCGGGTACCAACACATCGGCCTCTTGCATATGGCGTTCGGACAGTTTGACCCACATTCCCGCGACTGCTCAAAACGCTTTTGAAATCCAAATGCAAAATACTCCACTCGGGCCTGGCAACTTTGACAAACAACCTCGCTGCACTGTCGACCCAACAGCGAATGTAAACCGAGTATGTTGTGAGCTTATTCTCTCTCCCGTGTCAAGTGAGTGAGTGATCTCAGCAGTCTAACAACTAGACAAAGAGCCAACAGAAAACCATGGAGATCAGAGAATAAGGGAGTCATCGTGGCATAGTAGTTGAAGGTGAGCGTGTAATAGAGGGTATCATCGCTCACATGGTGAACTCGTATTGCTCTAGCAGATTTTGAAGAACCCCGGCCACATCTATCACCTTCTAAAAAGCACTCACGACATCAATCTGTGGGGGCCACCAGCTAAAGGTGACAACGCAATACGGCCGATTTGAATGTCGCTTGAGTTATTTCTCTCCGAATTTGTCAGCTGTGAAAGCCTCTTCCGACATATTGTCGACCGCAAGGATCACGCACTGGCATTGTAATCCAGACGTCGCTGCTTCGAACCCGCTTAATTCGAATCGCAATTTACTTTGTAGCAGCTCTCAATTGTTCCGATCACTGTGGTCGTGGTGCGTTTCGGTGTTGCTCAGTCCTAGTGCTTAACTCCACAATCGACGGTTTCGTCTTGCGTTGGTCTCTTTAAGTAGACAGTCCAAGTTGGGAGTGGAACACGGAACCTATTTGATGACGCGCTTAAATAGCGAGCAAATTTTTTATTATTATTTAGCTTATCTGAGCTTATCACAACTAGTTTATTAGCCAGATAAGCAGACTACCGATTCGGAAAAGCCCCAAACGGCCATATCGCTCTCTTGGGACTCATCACTGGTGCGCATTCTCTCGGTCTCGTTCAGGTAACCGAACCTATGACCGCTAGTGACTTGCAACATTAGTCAGCAGTTTATGCTACTGAGCTAAGGGGGACGATAACTGACCATCATCGATTGACATTTAACTGCATTTGGATATCAGCTCGATTCTCTGTAACTTTGTCTTCGCAGTCCACCAGGTTCCCATGACAGCCACTGATGTTCATTTTTGAATAGTAGATTACCGTTAGTCCTGACGATGTTCTGTGACGTAACAATCGCATGTCTACGTCAGTGTGCCCGCTTCCAGTTTGTGTTACGCCATCCCCTTACATGTGGTTTCGCAGTATTTTTTTACCAACTGTCTCCGCTCACTCAGTTTTACTTTTGGCTTACGCTTTCATCGAGTGCTTTCCTCTCAACTACCATCCCCACTTACCCCTCACACATTATACTTCGATTGTTGGCTCTGTTGCGTTATCCATCCACGATCAAGGGTAACAATCTCCATTGTACTGTCGAATCTTACATTTCTAGCTCTGACTGTCCTTTCCAACCTCAGGTTTCCAGAAAAATCGGCAGTTCTATGAAGAGTGTTGGCGAAGTGATGGCCGTCTCTCGGTGCTTCGAGGAGGCATTCCAAAAGGCCTTACGTATGAGCAAATCGACGGTGCTTGGCTTCGATGGTACAGACGTGGTGCTCACTGAGGATGCACTATCCGATCCAACGGATGAGAGGGTTTTTGCGTTGGCCAAAGCTTTGGAAGAGGACTGGTCTGTGGAACGCATTCATCAGCTGACTCAGATTGACCGATGGTTTTTGTATCGGTTTGAGGCCATCACAAAATGTAAAAAGCAGATTGAGAAGGTAAGTCTATTTGTTACTATTGTTATTTTACTTTTCCTTTCCTTCCTTGTTCATTGGCGTTACCTCGGCGCGCGATTGTTTGGTCTACTTGACTTAATTTCACAAACCAACCCGGTCTCTGTCTTTTGGGAAATAATGGCCAGTGATCTGATCGAAAGCACCGGGTCTTTGCCTTTGGTGGATGACGGTTTTCATTGTGGTCCTGTACACAGGTCTTTCATATCAAAGCAGCTCCGGTTCTGCTCTTAAATTTGTCCCAGCTCAAGCTTCCACATGTAACTAACTCAAGCAGTCACGCAATTGTCATCACTGCAAATGCAGTCGCAAATGTTGTTGATATCGTCGGCTATGTCCAACCCCTGAACGTCACATTCCGAGGGAATATCAAGTGGCCAGCAGCTCCTCAACAACACTTGCTGTCAGATCTAGAGCGTATAGCGAATGATGGAACCGCCTCGGTGCGCTTGTCTTGGGTTGACTGTTTCCCCGTATATATTATTATTCTGAGGATGACATCGTCTGCAAAGTCCCAGTCACTCATTTATCTCTCATGTTTGGGTTGTGTAGATCCACTAGGTAACGCTCCCTAATTACGTCTTTAACAAAATTGGAAGAAACTGAGAAAATGTAACAACGCCGGAATACACTACTTTCTAGTTTTACTTCTGACTATTTCCCTAGACTCCGATGCGACCTGGGATGATCGAGTATATGACACTTAACATCTTCAGCTATTTCATGAAAAGTATGTTTTTGAGCAAGTGCATCGACTAGAGTCGAACGATCGACTCACTGGAGCTCGCTGCTGAATTTGTCGATCTTTGGTTCTAATGGCATTGTTATAGCACTTGTAGAGTGAAATATGATGCATACGAAAGCAACAGCAACTTCGATGTCAAGCAAAGGGTTCTTAGACCCTGCTTTCCGCGCACTGCTTCCACTACGTCCACTGACTCAACAACATTTTAAACCTTGTCAAACCTCCAGCTTTTTAAAAACGATTACACCGTAGTACAACTTTCATACAAAACTCTCGGCCGTAACTGTAGTCCCTTTCGGGAACTTGGTATATCAGACAGCCGTTGCACATACTTTTCGTGAGGAGGCCAGGTAGGTTGAATGGTTGATTGTCAAGGAGCCAGCCAGTTATCAGTCGCTCTCTGTGGGTATCACACGCTAAATCTATACCATTTCTCGGCCAAGTTGTCCCTTTGGGCAACAAAATCAATCTGAACGGCAAAGGAGTTGCCCTGGGGGCAAACAAGTTGAGCCGTTTCTCAACTACTTTGAGCCTTACGTGTGACGCTCACTTGCGCAGGCGTGTAGGTGCGTGTATAGCCCAGCGCCTCCAGCCAATGGCCTCAAGTGCACTAAGTGTGCGCACCATAAGTCATAGGGGTGCAAGTGGGACGCTTCGTCTCCCACCTGATACAGTGTCGGTGGCTGATGCACCATGTGGACCTGTGTTTCTCTGTCCAAGGAGCGATTCCCACCAATTAGGACGTGAGTAGGGTTTTGAACGACGATTGCGTTGGGATAAGGAGCCACAGCCAACTACGTTTGCGCACTCTCCATCCACCTCCGACTCTTACTAAGTGGTTGTGATGAAACTGTCCAGCCGCATACCAAGTATCTGTTTTGCCTTTCAGCCCCGTCAACCTCTGACGACCTGATGTACACCCGGACACGTAAACCATGGGAACCATCGACCGGCGCACTTTAGACTAAGCAGGCGATTATCCGAAACTTTGTTCCCGTGTTGTTCGCGCGAGTATAAGCGGTTACTTTACGTCCTTAGTTGCAATTGGTTTAAATTTTGCATGTTTTACTGGCACACATTCAACCAGGCGCTTTTCATCAGGAACGTCATGTACATCGTTGTTAACCTGGTGATGCAGCTTCGGTGTAAGCGGTTTGGTTTTCAGTGCACTCGGTTTGAGTTTAGATGAACGACTATGGATGATCAAACTATGGTGTCGTTCCTGAACTCACAACACGTGATCGAGCTTAATGACGACGAGTTGCACTCTGTAGGCGATGAGAGGACTGACCCGCTTTGAATACATTTAGTTGTTCCGTTTGCAGAGGCGCAGCATGAGGGCGGGGGAGGCGGTCCGCTCCGAGCGGCACGTGACATTGGGCGGCATGTTTATTACCGTCCAATGTTTGATAAGAAAGATAAAGGACAAAATATCCGGATAAGCTGTGGGTTGAATATTCTAATGTTACTCTGTATGACCGACAACACATTTGCACCATGTCACACCTGCGCAAACCTACTTCCCAGTGATCATCTTATTTGTCCCATAGTGATCACTGACACCACACTCACCTCAGCGTCCCAGGCGCACAGTAGTTTTCATCAAAAACTATCGCGCACTTTACAGATCTTGTGGCCTTCACGCGCCTATGCTTACCTCAGTCAGGGTGATAATTTCAACACCGTCTCGGGCGGCAAAATCGATGCTACGCCACTGATCGCATGGACTGTTAGGTCGAAACACAGATGGACAGATATGCTCATGAGACCCCTTGTGGAGTTGTATCAAGCTACTGCGAATTCCTGTTAAAGTGCAAGACTTAATTTGGGTACACATCAGAGATATCAATAGATCTGTATCTGGGACGTTGAAGCTGATCGGACTTTTGGGATCTGACTATACGTTGGTGCATTTCAGCGGCTATACTATTACTTTAATATCATGCTAAATGTACGGCGGATAGCAATTAGGAAACGCCTTCATCTTGTACTGTATCAGCCGCTGGAAAAGGAGACATGTTACTTAAGCATTATCAGCTCAATCTGTACCTCAGATATTTTACTAATCATTTCGGAAACAATGTGGACTGTTTCGAGACTACGTTAATTCGCACAGTTGGATGAATTCATCTTCTGGGACACTACTGGCTTCGACGGGGTGTTTTAATGGCCATTCCCCCTCTTGAGCTGGTTCGAATCATATCTTGACGGCCCAACACAAATACTACCTATTGGTCAATATTGCTCTACTTCCAGAAATGTCACGAGTGGTGTTGTTCAAGGCCAGTGTATTGGGCCCACTACTTTTCCTCATTTACATAAACGATATATTTGATTACATTAGACACGGGCGCCTATTTGTATTTGCGGATGACATCAAACTAGTGTACTCATTCCTACCTGACCATCTGGAATTGTGCTTAAAAGATATACGCGAGGACTTATCATCCTTAGACAAATGGGGCGATAGCAAGTAAATGAGGTTTGCTGCAGATAAATCTCAGATATTCTGCAACAGATCCAGTATACCAGAAGGATCCATCACTCTCACTGGAACCCCCTCCCAACTGCGTATTCTGTTCGAGACCTAGTAATTTGATATTTGATCAGCTTCAACTTCTCCGAACACATCCTACATCAAGTAATGAAAGTGAAGCAACTAGGTCATTTTCCCTATCCCAAACACGGCTTGAATCACTCAAACTGATTGTGCGACCCACTCCAGAGTATTGCACCATCCTACATAGCCACTTACGTAAAACAGATAGAGTTGCTTTGGGAAACGTCCAGCGCTCATTTATCAAAATGCTCATGGGGCGCTTACCTATGAGCAGCGATGTTCTCACATCTGGCTTCGAGGGCTGAAAGTCAATTTCACTCTTCTCTAATTTATAATATTCCCATGAGTTTGCTCAACCAGTAAGACTGAGCATTACATAATAGCTCAACTTATCCCACCCGTAATGGGAAATGTCTACTATCCCTACAGAGGATCAAGAAAAATATTCGCCTAAAATTCCTCTTGCTGTGGTACGCCCATCTGTGGAATAAACTCCTGTTGTACGTAAGGACGTGCGAGAGTCTGCCCATTTTTAAAACTAATCTAAAACTTTTCCTCCCATGTCAAATGTGGTCCAACCTTTCGACCACGAGCGCGCTTATGGAATCGGGCCCGAACAACATATGACGATATGAACCATCAACTACGCAGTTGAGATGGGGATGCCAGTGAGAGTGATGGATCCTTTTGGTATACTGGATCTGTTGCAGAGTATCTGGGACTTGTTTGCATCAAACATCATTTACCTGCTTTCGCCCTTTTGTCTAGGAATGATATGTCCTCGCGTATATTTTTTAAGCACAGTTCCAGATGGTCAGATAGGAATGAATACACTAGTTTAATGTCATCCGCAAATACAAATAGGCGCTCGTGTCTTGTTCGGTATGAGTCCTCGTTGTGTAACTGTAAATGCCCTCAGATTCTCTTGCACGATTTTCTCCTGCATTACGTCAACAACGCATTGATTCGCTGGGTTTACCTAGTGGCTATACGGGTCGGTTGTTCCAAGCCTTAGTGAAGCCAGACTTGTCGATCGGTTCCACGTATTGTACACATTTCGGTTGTCCGTACTAATTGGGCTAATTGTGAGAATCCGTTTTTGATTCTGTTCTTGCATCATCGCGCCACATTCTCGTCGTTCGGTAACGTTTTGATAATTTTCCTTGGTATGCTATTCAACACCGCCGTCCACCCCATCCGCACCTTTTGTGCAACTGAAAAACTAGGGTTCGCAGCGAGACCGAACCTTAATGTGGTGTGACGGTTTGTACACCTCTTGGAGCCATTGAACTATACAGGGTGATGCCATTGGGTCCTCTTGTGAGCTACTCCTATCAGATTAATGGTTAGAGGTCAGACAAGCTCAGTCTCTTTGTTCTCCAGTTGGGGGTTTGAAATGGGTTGGCGTCCATTCCTGTAAAACCGATTCGTTGCCTTGCGGACAGGCTTTCGAGCCAAAAGCTTTGGTTGTGGACCCTAATCGTTCTTTTGTCTAGGTCTAAGCGCCCTGACAGTATCTCAGCCCACACACAACCATGACAATTTCTCCAAACTCTAACTACATCCTGCATCGACTGTCGCGCGGATTATCAAGGGTCGCCTTATCTACTGCATACAGCAGGGCTGGCACCCTCTCCTCCCTTTTCTACTTGCTCCTCTTACTGCCCTTCAGCTCCCCATATTAGCTCTCCATCAGTAATTCCCAGTTCGTTTTTATTTCCACCTTTGATAGCTTGAAGATGGAGTATTGACACGGCTCGACCGTTTGGCTCAATCCACCCCTCCCTGTTTCCCTCCGGACCTGGCACCGAGTTCAGTGCAAGCTTTCCTGCACCAACTTGTGCTGTCCAAACGTCTCGGATTTAGCGACCAGCAAATTGCAAATGCACTTCACTCTTCAGCTCTGTCTGTGCACCAGATTCGCGAGCATTTTCATTTCGGTCCGGTCGTGCGTCAGATAGACACAGTGGCTGGGGAGTGGCCTGCGGTTACCAATTATCTCTACCTTAGTTACGGTGATGTCCCTTTTGCCTCCGTGCTGCGGCTGGACGAACATGCGCAACCAGGAGCTTTTGTTGAAGCCACTAGAGCTTGTCTCTCCACCACGAATAGACACGATGTACAGTTTACTCCTCGAAGTAAGTGAACTGGAGTTATTTTTCCATCTGTTTGCCTTAGCTCGTGATTTTTCACATCGCCTCATTACTTTTCACTCTGGCGAATCATCCATCTGTATGCCATTTTGCGCTGTTCTCCCTTTTTTCTTACTCGGCAGTCTATTTCACACCAATCTTCTCTCTTTTGTTCTAAATGCTCTTTCTGTTTGTTGTTGAGCAGCGAATTCCACTTAACCATTTTCTCCTCTGCGAACAGATGCTCGTGCCGACGGATATACTCAACAACCCGGTGACTTCGTTTCCTCTACCCGATCCAAATTGTTTTCTCGATAGATCAGTGTCACCTTTTTACCTCTGAATTCAACACAGGTTATCTATTTTTGAGGTAGTGCTACCATATGTCGACAGCTTGAGTGAAACCTTGCTTTTAAAACCCACAGGTCATGGTTGACTGCGTTTATTGATCCGAATGATTTGACATGAAACTGAGTACTCTACGAAATCGTTACATTCTGGTGCGTGATTCAGTCGCATCGATCAAAAAGTTGAGCAAACTTTAACTTCCGTTCAACACTGTCAATTTCTAGATTTGCCCAATACTGCATGGGCTGCCCAAAGTGTCTGCGCTACAGATGCGGTGGCTGGCTTGCCCTACTCCAGCCTCCCACAATTCTTGCGCACACTCCATGTCCGTTGCAACTGTGACGGAATAAACAATGCCGATGAACTCGACGATTGAATCGGAGTTGGCGCACATGTTCATCGTGCGCATTATTCATGTAAGCTGTTGGAGAACACGCGTATCCCAGGTGTACACAGGGCCGTGGTTGAGCCGTATTCCTCGTTTCTTCACAATAGCGACCATTGTTCGAAGATTGTGCCCCATCTTCCTCCTGTAATCATATAGATATCCTAGCTCCAGCAATCGGAATGGTTGTATTCGTTGCTTCTAACAAGTGATAGTCCACGCTCACTTGTGAGTGTAAAGCCCAACTGCTACAACAGTCTCGGTATTTAATGATAATTTAAGTATACCTTTATGGTTACAATCGTGGATCGCAGTTACAAGAAATGTGTTACGGTAGGTAGCGGGAAATAATCTCACTTACGACTAAACTGCTTTTTAGGCTAGAGCCCACGCGACCCGCTTTGTGTTTGGCTCGAGGCTTCACAAGGTTTGACCCATGATCGGCACCACCGGCGCGTGTTCAAAGTGTATCCGGTACTGAGTTATTTGCGGGGTACTAGTTAATTATGACGCGGGACAGGGAAAACCGCAAGAAAGGTCCCGGGGGTACTACCTTACGTTCCCTCGATAGCCACAACACGTCGTGTCGACGCTTCACTGCTACGCCATCACTGTCAGTCGCGTATGGGCTAGGGATATTGCAAGGCCGCGCGTACGACCACCTGCGGTTTGATCCTGTTCGCTTAGAGCGTTTCGATTTTACACTGGACCCTTATTCTCCTCTTACTAACCGTCATTGCAAGTGTCATCGCGGTTCTCTGGCAGCGAGGTGTTAATTCAAATCACTAATGTGCAGCGTTTAATGGTGATTGGGCCAGTAGGCAACGTATATTGGCGCCTTGCAGACTCACCATTTTCTTGCCTTATTGCTTTGGAACAGCGCAAATCATGGTACTCGGTTCCGGTGTCTACCGAATCGGGTCCAGTGTCGAATTCGATTGGTGTGCTGTGGGCTGCACTCGTGAGTTGCGTCGTTTGGGCTGGTCCACTATCATGCTGAACTGTAATCCGGAGACAGTGTCCACCGATTTTGACATGTGTGATCGCCTCTACTTCGATGAACTTTCGTTGGAGCGTATTTTAGACATATACAAGTGAGTCCAGTACATTTTTACTTGGGATTTTTCGTCTCCTGAGATGGTTATTAATGTATTGGGGACATCTTATATGCGCACGTTTACAGACATACCATCTGGGCATCTTTGAGCATGTTGGGCCAGCGCCGATTATGGCGATGCAGATTACAATACACCGTCATGTATTTCATCACGGTTTATTTAATTTACATTTTGATGATATTTAAACCATCTATTCATAGCGATAATATCATGGAGAATAATCCAGCATCGAATCACCGTCCTCTAGAAGTCAGCTGGCTGCGGGCGGTCATGCTCCTTTCAAATTGTTCACTGGCCCAGTTTGTGCCAACACATTACTTCCTTACTGTGACTGAGCGGGGACGCATTACTTTACATTTTATCACAACAGCCACTGTCCCATTGCATCATTCTTCTGTCAGCCGCTATATGCCAGCTAAATGCATCCTTGATGGCAGACGGTTGTTAAAAGGCGGCCATCGGAGCTGTAAACAGTTGTTAACGGAGTATGATATTCCGGCAAATTTGGACCGATCACTGTCAACATCCATGAGCTTTGCATGTGCATCTCTATCCAACTTCTCGGCATTCCATGATTCCCAACACAGCAGTGTTGGAAAGGAGAAGTCCCACAACTCTCCACTTTACATGCTATCTCAAGGAACTAAATGGTAGAGGCTTGATTCAAAGCATACCGTAGCCTCAATCGTGATTGTGTGTCGCAATCCAGACACACGGCAGGTGCTCTAAGACCCAACCATGATTGATGCGATTCTCCAGCTCGGTTCGTGCGTCCAGGTTCTTCATATGCACAAGTGCTACCGCTTGTCCAGAGGTAACAGTTTATCTCGTTCTAACATCTGGTAGAAAATTACAACTTCGTCTTTTTTCAGATCTATGTGTTGACCGTACAGTACCATATCTCATATTAAAAAACATCGATCTTTTTCGCTTCGTTCATACACCTCATTAAAATGAATTTTCACATGGAATCGGATAGGAACAATCTTCGAACTGACCTCGGTTCATTTGCTGACCTTTTAGTTGTCTGTTTTATTTTCGATTATTGCTACACAAAACTGCGATAGAAGCCTTCACGAAGCGGCAAAAATATGCTACTTCCAGTTCTACGACCATTATCCTGACCGAGGCACTACTAATACAAATACACGAGATTTATATGATGGTGCTTTAAGAGCTTCCTTTGCCTACCTAAATATCTGTTCGCAATTTTGAGTCGCAGAGGACCGGGGGAATGCGCACCACCAACGTGCTCTAATAGTACGAAACGATCGTCTGGTGCTTTTCCGGATTGGCTGTTAGACTATCCGGCATATGAGCCGCTGAAACGAATCAGCAGCAGTTTCATGAAAAATTCTTCTATTCATTAGTAAGCTACATTTATGGCGGTTAAACTGTTCGCTGAGCTTGGCAATTTTGTTGCAAACGTTTTGTCACCAATCCAGGTAACATCATCAGTGCGTAGTTGAGTGGCGTGCAGTAGCGTAGAGTATCGTAGAGGAGCCTCGGACGCCTATCGCCAACAATCCCTTATAAGAGCACGCTGTCCCGTTTCCCTGGCGACGTTCAACGTTCGCACTCTAAGACAAGTAGGCCAACAGGCTGCACTCGTACGCACCTTAGACACACTGGGTATTGACGTGTGTTGTGTGTCCGAACTGAAGATCGGTGACTCTAATGGGGTTGTTGAATTAACTGCGCCCGGCTTGTCCTCTCGTTATTGGTTGCACGCATCCGGAGACGCTGATGCAGCACTCAAGGGTCAAGCTGGGGTAGGTATCATTCTAAGCTCCAAGACTGAGCCATCGTTGGTTGATTGAATTCCGGTGAACAGCCGTTTATGTGCAGCCCGTTTGACGACATCAGCTAAGGTTTTTTCACTAAGTAGTACAAAACGCTGTTTGTTTGCGATTTCTGCTTATGCTCCCACCGACTTCAGTTCAGATGCTGTCAAGGATACAGTCTACCACGAACTGGACGCGCTAGTACACAGTGCTACTACTTCAGCTATCGTAGTACTTGCAGGAGATCTAAATGCACAAGTAGGTCGTCTGAGCTCTTCAGTAGCTCGGCTGGGTGGTAATTATGGGCTTAACTCCGAACGGACTGATAACGACGAGCGTCTGTCACAACTGTGTGCGGAGCATCATTTGTTTCTGAGTAGCACCGCTTTTAAACGCAGTGGGCGCGAAGTGCCACTTTCCTTTTTCATGTAGCTGGTCAGCGATTGACCCAAATAGATCATTTTGCCATAAGTAATAGGTGGCGTGGTTTCATCCTAGATTGACGCTCGTTTTAGAATACCTACGTCGATTCTGATCATGCCTTGGTACGCTGTCGTTTTACCATGAACTTTACCGGGAGGCTCAACAAATGTTTCCCCCCATTGGCAAAGGAGAAATTATCTCATTTCTCCGTCAGGCAAGCGAATCTGGTTGCACAGCGCACCGAAATTTCGCTGTCTTGTCCTAATGACACCGAGATTCAGTGGAATAGGATCTCGGCCGCCATGCACGACGCAGGAGCATCTGCTGGTGGCATTATTAATCGTCACCGCACCAGTCACTGGATATCCGACAGGTTGGTGAACCTGTTGGAATGCAGAAGAAACCTCCTGGCTGGCTCTGAGCACAATGTGATCAGACGGACTATTAGGTGCGAACTCAATCAGAGCCTACGTGTTGACAAGAAGAGGTGGTGGAGCAGTCGGGATCAAGAAATGGAGGAGGCAGGTGCTGTAAGCAATTACCGCAAGCTCTTCCAACTGATCCCCACTAATGGTCCCAGGAAACCAGGCATCAGTGAGAACAGAGACAGCGCGGATGCACTGTTACACAATATGGAGCGCCGGATCGCTCGCTGGGTGGAACATTTTCAAGATCAATTCAGTTGACCCCCTGCTCCCGGAACCTAGCCTACTCAGATGATGCAAGAGGAACCATGGCCGGTTAGTTTAGAGGCTCCCTCGGAGGCTGAGGTCCGAAACGCGATCACAGCCCGCAATCGTTTTCAAGTTGTTGACCCGATTTCCCTTCCACCTGCACTAACTATTTAAGGATGGAGGTGAGGATCTCTGCAAAGCAGACCTCCCTATTCGAACATATATGGAAAGAAGAGAATGTCCCGGCTAACGAGTGAATCGATTATAGTGGCAATATACAAGAAGTAAATTCGCACAGGGGTATTAGTCTATTGCCCGTTGTGACAAACTTACTGGCTTCGGTTCTCGTTCGTCACCTCACTGTTGAGCGTGAATCACTAATTATAGAAGAGCCGGCAAGTTTCTGCCCAGGACGTAACTGTATAGACCTCATATTCACTCTGCGGCAGGTGCTAGAACAGCGATACGCATAACGCAGACCGAGAATAGTTGTATTCCTTGACTTCAAGAGTGCATTCGATTCAGTCGATGGATGTATTCTGTTCGAAATGCTTAAGCAGAAAGGTGTTCCCACGAAATATGTGAACATTTTACGTGCTCTGTACTCGAACACTACAGGCTGCGTCAGGGTCTATGGTGACCTGTCGGGTAGACTTCTGACCTCAAGTGAGGTTCGTCAGGGTTGTACGGTTTCCTCCTTTTTTAATTTCGTCGTGGACTCTATCATGGAGTGTTCCCTTACGGAATCTTACGACGTAGATTTTGAGGTGCTGCCTGGTGAAGGCTTACTTGATCTTGATTATGCGGACGATATCGTATTCCTGTTTAGCGATGTTTGGGCGGCGCAAATAACTCTCAATAGCCTGTCTAGAGTGGTCCCATTATTTGCTATGTGCTTTGCACTTTCAACATGCAAAGTGTTGCTGCAGGACCACCAGCCACTTGATGACCCCTTGACCCTTGCTAACGAGGAACTCGAGGTGGTTGATCAATTCACTTATCTTGGTAGCTGCATCAGCAACGATAGGCGCATAGAAACTGACATCAGCTCACGCATTGCAAAGGCCAGAGCTGCCTTCTTGAACCTGCGTCATCTTTGGCGACAGAAGGGAGTTTCCCTCCGTCTGAACGGCCGCGTATACAAGGCCACAGTGAGGGCCGTTCTGCTGTATGGTAGTGAGACTTGGCCCCTTCGGTCTGAAGATCTGATGCGCTTTCACGTTTTAGGTCATCGTTGTCTGCGGAGCATTGCTGGTGTCGGAAAATGAAGCCACTGACGACCAAACTGGGCGCCGTTGGTCCGTCTCGCCTTCCGGGCTGAAGTGCACATGCCCCGCCTTGTGCTTGGCTCGGGACTTTAGAGGACATGGCTCGCAGTAGACACCAGTGGCGCGTCTGCTGCCGTCTCCTAATGGGATTGACTGTTTAAAGTGTGTTTGATGCCAAGTTATCTGTGGGCATACTGGCTGATTATGACGCAGGGCAGTGAAAGCCGCAATGAAGCTGTTTCGCCGATGCCGCCTTGTCTTTGCACGATAGCCAGCTGTTTGTGACAGTATGTTGTCTACACAAGGTGTAGGCGCCTTGACCCTGAATGTTTGCTTAGGGCATTATGGTTTTCAGGTAAGTCCGCCTTCTCTCCCTCTTCTTATTCTTTATTTCATAGGTCCTCATGGTTGTATGGCAGCGAAGCATCAATTCAATTGGCTGATGTACTCCTGTTATTGATTGATTGATTGCCCTTGCTAGACATCGTTCGACATACTTTTTCAGCTCATTTATGTATGGAAGTTTGACACAGCAAGGATCTTTGACTTGCCGTTTTAGATAGGATGGCTGCGAATAATCGTAAATGCCTTTAAGTAGCCTTTGGCCGGTAATATTTGTTCCTTCAACAGCAATTTATACCACACAGTCGTCACCGCACATATCCTCCTACAAGCTCGCTTAAAACCACTTGGCGACGGGACGCTTGTATTAGACTGCAGTGCGGACATTGAAATCCCCATGCAATGCGGTCCACGTAGCCTTTCCCCCATCTTCTCCTTCAACCAACAGACATTTATTCTCTAGTTCATTGAATGTGCGTTTGTTATCGCCTTGGTATCATTGAAACTTTGCCCCTATAGGTGCGTCTAGCCGAGGTCCAGTTCTCAACTCGATTTGACTATTAACATGAATATATCTGCCAATGTATGGCCAGGTGGGCTTTCTATCGCAAAACCATCCGCCTAACGATATGCCTAATTCTCTAATAAGCGCACATTTTCGATGCATTCTGGTGGTGAGGACATCTTACAAGCATTTGGTACATCTCATCTAGTTTTATTTCTGCATTCTAATGTCTTATTCTTCATGTTCGTATCCCAGATGTTTTTGGCGCTAGTGGGGTGAGTGACTTGTTTGGTCAGTCCGAACTCCTTGATTTTTAAGCATTTGTCTTACTGCTCACCAGGCGTTCATCTTTTCCACGAAATTACTTACTTCCTAGATTGGAATGTGCTGTTGGTGTGATCTTATCCATGGGAGGTCAGACACCCAACAATCTTGCCATGCCAATGCATCGTTTGGGTGTGCCCATCTTGGGTACCAGCGCCGAATCCATTGATACGGCAGAGAATCGGTTCAAATTCTCCAGATTGCTCGATTGTATGGGCATATCACAACCGAGATGGCGGGAGTTGACCGATATGGAATCCGCACGGTCTTTCTGTATGGAGGTGAGTTTGTGGAATTTGTTGCGTTTTATCGGCAGTTGTGGTATTTTGCTATTGATATGCTGTGGTTGATTGTTTCAATCGCACTGCGTATAGTTCAACAGAATACAATGATCAGTATGGCAGACCTCATGGAATGTGTTGGTTGATTGCTCCGAGTTGATAGAGCATGGGAATTGTTAGGTTATCTTTGATGCGATCGGTTCCACGTCTGATAGACGAACGTTATCCTGTTTCCTCGTACCTGGCTATGTTCATTATCAAATGCGCAGCTGGTTTACTTGTATCCTGATGCGTAGTGATAAAAAGCATAATTTTACTTGTGTCTCTATCTGGCACATTTTGCTATGTATTGTTTTATACTTCCTTTTTTCGAACATGTTACTCTATTGTATTGGGGCACAATGGTTGACGTGTTTCTCACCCCTACTTCATGTGTGCTATGAGTGGCCGATACTTCTATTCCTCTGAACCCCCGCCGAGATCTGTCGTATTTGCCACCATTAGGTAGACTAAGTTGAAACGGGTCAATGCATTTCGGTTTATTTGATCGTCTACCATCTTCGCACTGAGGCGCGGTTATCTTACCTCATTTCGTCAGATAATAATAATAATAGCAGTCGTTATATAAAAAGAAGTACACGAGACTTAATATCGTCCGTTGGAATTATTAAACATTAGAAATGATGAAACGAATGCAAGGGCGTTATGGCTTTCGAGGTCGTGTTACATCCGATAATCATCATCATCATCATCATCATTGTACACGTCAGCTAGAGGTGGGAAACACCTCGGCTACTGTGCTGCAATACATAAAGGAAAAGGAAAATAAATACAACAGTTACATGCCAGCTGAGCTACCAGCAACGGATAGGCATCGTTCCGGTAAGCTACAAGCCGGCTACTAGACAAAACGAAAAAAATATTGTTTTGCGCTACGAAATGAGATCGTAGGTAGAGGGGGAGGCTAAAGGGGATGGGGAGGGACAAAGAAACTCACAGCAGGAACGCCACTGATGTCGACTCCTTGCCATCTCAGCAAGTGTATCCAGCTAAACGTGTTCATCGTCTTTTGGATCCAAACCAGGGATCCGTGACGCTCCAATTGAGGCCAGCTCCGAAGTGAGGGCCTTCATTCCTCTGGACTAAGTCATCGCTTGGCCACCCCTCCTCTTCTTCCATCCACACCCCCGATAAGGTACACAGCCAATGATGTGCTGATCCCGAGCGGCACTTGAGAAGGACGACACTCACCTACTCTAGTCAGCCTTCAAGTGAGTTATCCCACTGCCTCTGACAGACAACAGAAATGAAGGAACGTGAGTCAAGTAGACCTTCCAGTGCTGCACTAGAGGGGCAGGCAGACTTCGATACCTCCAACAATTCGCGGACAATGATGATCAAACACTGGCTGTCTCAAGCTCCTAAACACAGCGGCACTATATCTTATGCATACTGAGATTCTGAACAGCCATACGGACCTAAGCGTTGCACGCAGTGATCTCCTCGGTGATGCTATAACCAATGGTGTTTGGATTTGCGGTATCCTGTGTCCGGATTTGTCTGTCACTATGGGCTCCATTGGGCACAGCCTGCGCCGCATACACAAGGACCATGGGTGGGTTGCGCTGCACCACCCATACACCCCATATCCGGTGTAAACCCGAAGGAATAAGACCGGGAGGCATGTGAATGGGAGCCACGTTCCATCAACGGAGCCGGCCCACACTCCTTCAACAAGCAGAACAGAAGCATTCCTGCCTAATTGAGAAATCATGCGTACCAGACCTACACAAGACGGTAGCTGGGCCGTAGCCCGTTCCACAGTGATGCATGGAATCACTGTTTGAGGCTAACATCGTCACAAGGATGGTGCACTCCGTCCCCTCTCGAACAGCCAACTGTCTCCTGGAGCCAGTATAGACTAGGTGGTGGATACTAGTCGCTGTTCACAGTCAACATTCATATCGAACGCAGCCACACCGGGGATATCAATCAACAACCAATCCAAGCACGCAGGCACACGTACAGACCAACTGCAACAACAATGCGGCACACGTATCACCTCAGCCACCTGATTGGTCTGGGTTAGTAAACCGAATGGATGCGGTCGCAGCGCACCTACTAATCGCTGCACTGATTATACTTAGCTAGTCAGTTGACTCCTCGTCTTTTGGATGCCGGCCGCAAGTGGCCACGCTGATGGCTTGCCAAACCCGTTTTTTCAGGCACTCGCGACGGCATGTGCTACAGCATCATGCGCTTGACGTCGATGGGGTAGATTCCATCGGCGCTTGTCGCTTCCGCACAATGCGTTTCTGCTGCGCATGTAACAGTGTTTTCTGCTGCCCCTTGGCGACCGCCCTCTTGATCAGCTCACGCCATTCGCGACGATCAACTGCCTGTGATTCCCAATATCTGAAATCAACATTAGTTGGTGATAAACACACCTTCATCGTGTCCTGCTAATGTAACTTCGGTTTTCCCATGTGCCGCTTTCCTGCACGCAGTTGTCCATAAATCAGCTGATTCGATATACGCATCGAATCTATGCGACGAACATGCCCGAGCCATCTCAGGTGCCTCAGCAGAAGTATGCAGTCCACTGCACACATTCTACAACGTGGGAGCACCTCCGCGTCTGCAGCTCGGTCGCCCCAGCCGAAACGCAGAATACGACCAGAGGTGGTACAGTCATCTATATAGGCATCAGCGCTCAAAGGAAACATTGACGCCGAACAAACAGTAGAGCTGTACATTCAGCTTTTGTGATAACAGCTGCTATTCGGCTTATCCCACGGATGGTTTAGATCCTAAAAATAACACGGGTCTCCTCTGATTTTATCGATGGAGTTTGTTAGATTCGGACGCTGCTGAGCTACCTATTCCTAAAATATAGATCTTATGCAAAATTTTCAGGTATTCGTTTCAGCAATCTGGTTTACAAAGCAGTTGAGTGAGCGGAGCTTTGGTTTGAGGAATCAACTCAATCTGTAGCACAGGGTAATGGGGAGCAGGTTTTATCTGGAAGTGTAATTGCTCTGTCTTCTGTGGATATAAAATGGCTCCTTCACAGAGCTTCTTAATGAGTTCAGAACGAGTAACGCGTGCTTTTTCGAGCGTATTGGACGACATATCTGAGGATAAGTGTCCTATGGACTTGAAGCTGTTTGATTTGTGTTAAGCAGTAACCAAACAATCAACCAAAGTTGTACTCTCGCTGATTCATAGACAATCTGTGGCTCTGGTGCCGCTTGCATCAGTGACTTTCCTCCCTGTAAACTGTTATGAGGACGATGTTGGGCGTACTCTGCTTATGGTGGGTGATTCCGATGGTCCTCACTCGCAGAGAACTTCAAGGAGCAGCAAGCTCCGTTTTGGGATAATTACCGGTTTATCTCATGCACCATTTTAACACCTTTGTATAAGTAATGCATACGTCATCTTACTTGGACACCTTGAAAGATTTCACTTCCATCTTTTCCCCCCAAACTTTTCCAGGTCGGGTATCCTTGTCTCGTCCGGCCTAGCTATGTCCTCTCGGGTGCTGCGATGAATGTCGCCTATGATAGTCAAGATCTAGCCGCCTATTTGTCGGCGGCTAAATCAGTCAGTCCCGAGCACCCCGTTGTAATCAGCGAGTTTATTCTGAACGCCAAAGAGATCGACGTCGATGCGGTTGCACAGGCTGGTCGTGTGGTCGCCATCGCCGTGTCGGAGCATGTAGAGAACGCCGGTGTACACTCCGGGGACGCAACCCTCGTCACGCCGCCTCAAGATTTAAATGAAGAAACTCTCGACCGCATCAAGCACTTGGTTCACACGCTGGCAGACGAACTACAAGTATCGGGACCGTTCAACTTGCAGTTGCTCGCCAAGGATAATCACCTGCAAATTATAGAGGCCAACTTGAGAGTTTCACGGTCTTTTCCTTTCGTCTCGAAAACCTTGAAGTACGATTTCGTCGCCGCTGCGACGCGGTGTATTCTGGTATCTGCTCGTGACTCAGTCGCTCCATCTACTGCATTGATCTCTGTGGACATCTTTGGTCAGAAGATGGACGGGCATTGTGCTTCTCGATTAGCGCTGGAACCTGTAGCGAATGTCACCAGTGGGATTCCTGGACTTGTTGGAGTGAAAGTAAGCAATGCCATCAGTAACAGGTGTAGCCTTTGAATCATGCTATTGGTTCACTTTACAGGCCGAACACCCCCTTATCTCTTCATTCTCTCTCTGTGTGCGTATAGGTGCCGGTCTTCTCTTTCTCTCGCCTCCTGGGAGCCGATGTCCTTCTCGGAGTGGAGATGGTCAGCACCGGTGAGGTTGCCTGCTTCGGTCGAGATCGCTACGAAGCCTATCTGTTGGCGCAAGCAGCTGCACTTTCCAACACAAATGGTCGCCTTCCTCTGCCAAAAGAGAATATCTTCCTCTCCATTGGAAGTTATCGTCACAAGAAAGAATTACTCATCAGGTTTGTTGGTTATCTCTACTGTGATATCTACCGGCTTTAAACTTCCTATGTGCAAAAATGGACTCAAGAAGGGACTTTGCCGCCTCTCGCAACATCGAGTGAGATTTGTTAACCTGCCCAGGGCGTTTATTTGTAATCGAGCTTTGAGCGTTCTGTTTCCTCTTGATATGATTTTTCAGCCGAATCCAAGTTTTCTCCGAAGTTCGTTGCTTTCGCCCGACAAGGGGCCAAGGAGCGTAATGGGTGAGCCATCCACTTGGCCGGTGTTTCTCCCTTTGCATAGCACCAATAAGTTGTTGCTCAACTTTCGATATTCCTGCGCCACTACAAGTGTGTGTGTGTGTGCATGGTGCGTTTTATGGCTCTAAACAAGGCCTTGGGTGCATTGTTTTCCCCGTGATCTCGGCGGTTTGGGCCTTTCCAGCCCCATTTTGCACCTCTTCATTTTTTCAGAGCCATGACATATAAAAGGTTGTTTTCACTGAACTCTAGTTTCGCCAATTTAGTTTGGCCTGTTGAGCGGTGTATTTTATCAGACGGATCGGTGTTAATGATTCCACGATGCGACCATTTTGTTTCTCTGCCTATTTTGCCCGTACTTTGCTTCGTAACAGGCACATATTACTTCGATACGAGCCCTAGTCTACTTTAGTAAGTCATGCACAGTTCCGGTGGGAAACGGAATGATTGCTGGTACTTTGGTTTGTCGCTTCGGTCGGGTTTACAATTCGGATAACTAACGTATGCTTCTCCATTTCATTCCCTAGTGGTGTTGGGTTTGTATACGTCCAACTGTTTACTCGTCTATCATCGCCGTTGCCTTGATTCCCCTATCTAACTGGCTGCCAATCGTCAACCGGAGAAACTGAGTGCAAGTCTTGCTGACAGTGATCCCATCATGTTTACTCAGATATGCCCAGTGTCGACGGCGGTAGGAGGGTGTGAACAGGTTCCGAGTTGTTCGTCGCCACTATCTGTATGCATTGCAGCTCCTTTATTCGGATTTGTGTCGGATGTGAACGTCTTGCGCAATCCAGGTATGGGCTAGCAATCTGGGGCCATTCGCAGTAAAGGGAGGGCCTGTAATCTCTAAACGTTTCTCGTTAGGCTTTTCGGAATTGTCATCCCCTTTGTTCATCTGGACTAGATAGCTTGTCATCGAAAGAAGGGATCCCGAGGAATCTTGTGTTCGCGAACATGGACAGCAGCACAAATGTTTTGATCTAAATATTCTGCCGATATACTACTCACATGCCGCCGTACTAAAAGCCCCACATTATCACCTGCTTTTCCGCTTAAACCTAGGGCTGAACACTTACAGAAGAATTCAGGACGCATCGTTGTCTGAGGTCTGAGCACTAACATTCTCCTGACATTGACGTCGTGTATTCTCTAGTTCGAACTAGGCGTTTCACCGTAACGCGGATGCGACGAGTGTATCACTCTCATTGCTTGGACATAGGGCCACAAACCATTTATCTCACCGTTTTATTTCACGATGGTGCAGGAAGAGCGAGTGAACCGCTCAGCACCGTTGTATTACTCACCAGGCTCCGATGGCTGGGCCACATGTTGCGCGTGCCAGCACACCGGCTCCCGTGGCATGCGTTGTTTGCTCGCCGGGGTGTGGATGAAAATGGAGAAGGGAAGGCCAAGCGATGACTCCGTTTGAAGTCGGCGTCCGTTGGTGTGTCCCAACTACCGGACTCGCGACCGAAGGACCGTGAACACGTCTGGTTAGATACACTTGTTACCATGGCGAACAGCCGACCTCAATGGCGTTTGTTTCTTATTCCCCCCCGTCCAACTACGATCTCTGTCTTGAAACATTTTATGTCGCTAAGCAGTATGTTACCTGATTTTGTACTCTATACTGTTTGGCATATCGATTTTTCATTTACCTTATCCTTTTGTATTGCCATATCCTAGTTATAGTGTTTCTCACCTTCGGCTAAGGGGAATTGATGATTATGGCGATTTATTTCACGGCACAGGCGCAGGCATGTCTTGAGACCGATAACCTTTGCTTGTCTTCCCCACCTGAACACAACTGCTAAATCGGTCAGGGACAGATCTGATCACAGCTAATGCTGGATTTCACTTTCACACCGTTTGCACTCTCCATTGGCGTTCGTTCCCATCGAATCAATTTTTTGATTCGAGCTTATGTGCCTTCCTTCACAAGCACCGATTCAAGCCACCTGACTGAGTGCTGACGGCTGTCAATTACGATATGGCGCAAACTACAGCCCATCACTGTACGAGTTTTTGGCGTGCATCGCGCAAAGTCAGTCTCCGTTAGTTCACTAGATCGTAAAGAGGAGAAAAACCCCATGCTGAGACTGATGTCGCATTCATGATTCTTCTTCACCGCAGTTGGGCTAAACCAATTTACACTTAAACTAGGTCTTTTTAATGTGGATAAAATTCAATACATTTTATTTGGTTTGTTCTGCGTACTTGATAATCTTCTCCCAACTTACACACGTCGCTCATGCAAATTGTGGTAAAGTCGCGTAATTTTATCGCTATTTTTAAATAACTTTCGGACATTTTGTACTTATTGCGTATTCACATTTAACCAATTTCTTCCGTATGCTCATTTAGCGAGTTTTTATGTCATCATATGCGTTCACTTTATTCGATATCGGCATTTCGAATGATTGGCTGTTGTTTGACATCCCAAGTGTGGCTGCGCTTGATGTGCATGTTGACAAGGTGCCTACCTGTCTATTACCCACTACCTCGTCCATCTGGCTCCAGGAGACAGTTGGTCGTTGCTGGAGGGGACCGGGTGCACGGTTCTCGTGATCGTGCTAGGCTCGAAGAGTGGTTCCATGCACTCAGTGTGGAGCGGACTACGGTGCAGCCATCGCCTTGTGTGCGGTTGATTCCCCAAATACATCGTGCTTGTGTTTGCCTGTGAAGGAGTGTGGGCCGGCTCGGTTGATGAAACGTGGCTCCCATCCACATGCCTCCCGGTCTTATTCCTTCGGGTTTACACTGCATATGGGTGTGCGTGGATGGAGCTGTGGGTGGTGCAGCGCAAGCCATCCATGGTCCCTCTGTAGGCGCAGGCGTCTTGTGGCTGGCCACAGTGACAGGCAAATCCGAAACCAGATGCCGCCAACCATGTTTATATATTTGCAACCGTCCACAAACAGACATATAGCCATCAGAAACCATGGGACTCCAGTGAAGCTACAAAAATAGTGAAAGAAAACAACACATCGGAGTCCATGGTTTCGTCAGAGGGTGAGATACCCCGGTTGCCCAAGTCGAAGTAGGGTGTTGACTTAGGGGACACCACCCCGAGCCTTTAACCGAATTGCCTGCCCGGAGTGAATTCAGGGAATCGCGCCCATTGGGAGCCGGTGACTGATTTCTCAGTTCATACGCCTTTCGTTTGTCAAACAGGGGCCCAATGCTCCCCAGAATTACAGCATAAATTTACTGGAATACAATGCTTCGCCAGGATGAAGCAAGGGGCAATGACTTTATGTAGTGGCGAGTCACATCCGCCACATCACAGTGTTGTTCAACAGACATTGGCTTTTATAGGAAGAACGCTTGCCAGGCGAAAACCCACCACGTCCTGGAACAGTGGTGCCGAATCATTTGCTGGAACGGGAAAATCCCAAACCACCCAGCTGGCACTACGAGGAGGTTGTTCGGCAAGCCAGCTTTATCGACTCAGATTCATTGTGAGTTTGATGCATGTCAGCTGCAAAGTGACGTTTCTAACTCACTCATCGTAAGTACAGGAGAAGCAGTAGAATCCCATCACCAACATCGAGTGGCTGTATCTAAGTCCTCCGGTTGTTTATCATAATCGCTTACCACCCGGATAGAATGAAATCTGAGCAGAAATCGGGTCTTCTTGTTTTGGATAGTCTCCACTTTCGACATCGTATCCAACAGCAGACGTTGAGCTGGATGAACTTTTGTAACCCGTTCCCAAGTTCCCTTCGCATCTAGTGTAAACGAGAACTCTATGGATAACAAGTTCAACTGTCTAATTCGAACAGGGTATGAAAGATAACGAAGCGCTCCTCTGGTTCTTCTCCATCAGAGCTGGTAAGCTAAATTCCAGAAACGGACGGACATGTGAAGCGAAAGAGGTCGGAAGAGGTCAGGAGTCTTTTGGGTGAATGACATTTTTAAAATCATGTAGCGAGAACTACTGTTGAATCTATGTCGAAGTCGTGGAGCTATTTTAGTTATCCTCCAAATGGTTTCGTCACAACTGCGGTTTGATCTTCATTGCTTTTATGTTGCTGTGCTTGGGTTGCATCGCATCGTTTGACGCCGGATCGATTTTAATTTCTTGCGTGCTAAATAAATTATCTTATTTGGGTGTTTAATCGACTGAAAATCGCCGTTTTCATTGTTCGCATGGCTTTCTGTGCTCCGGTTTCTTTCTGCCCGAGGTCTCTCATTCTATCGTAAATTTTCTGATTGCAGTCTCCACTATTCAAAGGTGTCGCGCGCATCGACTTCTGACGACTTGACTGCCGCATTATCCCATTGTCACTGCCATTAATGTTTCCGTTGCTGTTGTTTCGTTGGAAAACCTCAGCTGTGTAACGGGTATGTATGAGACAGCTCTATTGCAGCCGTAGTTTTGAGCGATGTATCGCATGGCACTGTGCGTTTCCGCATCAGCCTTGTGCTTTCAAATTACGGGAAACTATCTTCTTGCGATTTCCGAATCAACAGTACCAATACTTATGGTTGTGAGATTGTGTTTCATGTGTAAAATGTTAGCACTCACGGTTTTTTACCCCAACGATTTTTACCCGTTATACAAAAGAGTATCTAACGGGTCGCATTGTTTCCACATGTATTTTCTCTTGTCTTCTCACGCTCAATGTTTTCGCTAATCCAATTGCCAGTGTCTCCCAACTCGCCCGACTGGGATACCAGCTGTTCGGTAGCTGCGGAACAGCTGATTATTATCAGACTCAAGGCATTCCGGTGACGTCGATTGAGTGGCCATACGAAGAGTCGGACGCCACGAAGAACTCGTGAGTCGTCACGTGTCCCCCACTATTTTCATTCTGAATTGCTGATCGTGTTTGCTGGTCACTGACCTATCAGGATAGCATGAGTTCGCTTGCGAGATGTAACTTCACAAATCACTTCTTATCAGCGATTAACCGACTTCCATTTCAACTGTTCCAGGGTCCTGTCCGTACACGAGCGATGACAGCAAAGCCGTTGTGCCTGAGAACAGTTGTCACGTATCTACAAATAACCAACCGCGATCTCGAGCGTACCTATCAGCATTCTATTGTGCCCTTCCTGCTGTCTCACTTGTGAGACAATTTTATGACTACTTACACTTGTGGGTTAGTGATAGGTGCTTCTCACTCGCGGTACTACGCTTCAAGACTGGTTTCACTATTGTCTCATATCTTCAGGTGGACGAATTTAACATGTGCCTCTCGGATTCAGTTAGCTTATAATCAAAAGTAAGATTCAGCGAGCGAATTTAATTTCAGTGGCTCATCTTCAGGCTAACACACCACGATGGGAGTGTTTATTAGGCAGGCATCAACAGTACACCGTTCCAAGGTATCGACGCTTCGCTATCGCGCAACCACAACCAGTCGCCCATGGGCTACGGATACTGCGAGGGTTGCCCAGAGCCCTACGCAAGCTTGAACCCGCGCCCTCGAATTACAAAGCAGGCTTGTGATCCTTAACACTACTAGGCCGGTGATGGGATGGGTTAGATCAAGCGCACTGATCAAAAGCGATGAATAAAAGGATTTAAGTGTCCAATTAGTGTAAGTGAATAATCGATCTACTCAAGGTCGATTCAGGGGTTATGGCTTCATCACTATCGTTAATCGAGGCGAACTGTGGCCCCGGTAGCCGAATGACCCGTACGAGTTTCTTTTAGACACATAGCTCCGGGTTTGGGGGCCAGATGGCAATTACCTCTACTTTCGCCAGTAGATGGCATCTGACTGTTCGGGTGTAGTATCTGAATATCCGGTAGATGAACTGAAATACGTCTTGTGTGTTGACCTACGAATTCGAATCAATCAGGTGCTACAGAATGGCACTCGTTGCCATCTACATTATACCACTCCCGAACCAAGCAAGGCAATGTGCTCGGATTCTATCAGACAGACACCTGGTGGTTTTCATAATATATCTTACTCTACACGAACAATGTAAGTTGTATACACAGAAGACAAACTCAGACCATGGCACTCTGTCCTTAAGTTGCTGTCTCACAATCGCTGTTGTAATGAAACTGACTCGTAAATCCACCGCAGGCAATGTTCTGGTAGTGGTATTAGCTGCTTCTGGACTGTCGTTTCTACGGTCACATCACCCTTGGATGCTAACAGTGGAAATATGTTTCATTTTTAGTGTTCGTGCTTCCATGTGCCAGCGGATGAACTTATCTGGGTATCCATTTCGTTGGAACATGCTGTAGGGAAACTGTGTCTTCCGTACATATTCTTGTCGTTATCTTCGTTAAACATCGGATGATGTTTCTTTTCTGACTGATTGGAACGAAACTAGCGTAATGAATATAGGATCCGTTCCATATTACTTTCCTATTAACTCTCCTCTATATTGTCCCCTGCAATCTCTTTTTAAACCGGATATCTAAAAATGATACGCAGTTATTGCGCTCACGTCCCGTGGCAAACGTTATATTGTTATGTGCGTCTTTGAATATTGGTTAAACACTGCAATCTCTTGATCTAATCCCCCTCGTCGTTTATTAACCTGAACACGAGTCTGTTCGCTACATCTTACTTTTGGTAGCTTCTAATCATTTAAGCGCTCTGGCCACCGGGTTTCAGAGTTGTTTCGTTGTAGGTTGCGTTTTTCTCAGCATGTAGCGAAGGAAGTTCAAAAACTTCACCCAGCATACAAGATTTGAACTATCTCGAAGTTGGTCTGCTCATCCTATCCTAGGGTTGAAATTTTGGGGGTTCATTAGCAGTAAACACGGATTAGCGGTATCTCTCAGATATTCATTATAAACATTCACACGGTAGCTTGAAAATGAATTATATCCGAAAGGAGAAGTTTCTTTAAAAGTTTCGTACAAGAATCCCTTCACAAATCTCCGGATGGCAAGAAGGAACAGGATATTCTGAAGTCAGCTATTTCCGATCAGCTACGATTTTTGGAGCGGTTAGGTTGTCTGCACAGAAAATCGATGAATCGTTGGCGGGCCAGTTTCATCTGATGCTTGTCGGTATTCTGCCTTAGAGGAACGTGGCCACCAGCTTCAATAAAACAATTCGAAGCTTGCTACGAATTCTGTCTATTTAGATAAGATGATTTTCATTCGCGGACGCCTTGGCAAACTGAAGCAGGTACTCTGTCATTTGGTTATTCGAGGAGATTCTCACGCGTTTTCACACATGGAACAGTCACTTATGGGCCAAATTGTGGACTATTCCCATCCAAGTTACGCAGCATATGCTCTTCAGGGGTATAGCTTCAACGGAAACTCTAATCTGGGGCGTAAATCGCAGCTGTTGAAACAGACTTTGCTCACTAGACTCCGTGCTGTAGTGGTAAGGGTGCCCACCATTAATCTCTTCTTCCCGGATCCATATACGAACGAATTCTGTCACGTGATGTGTGTGATACTGGCAGCTAGCATCATTTGACATATCACTATCTCAGTGACATCTCCAGTAATCGAAGTTACCGAGGTCTCCTTTAAATTTGATCACGGTCTGAAACACATTCGCGTCAGCATTCGTGCGGATAACGAGTATTCTTAAAGCCAACAACAACCTCGTGCTCTTTTCTCCATCAAGCTGCAGGAGTAGAATACCATTTGACCTATACAAGACGATATACAGCAGCTTAAATTCTTGCTTTGGTCATTCAAAACGGGGGACCGCATACTTACGCACGCAACGATATTGTCTTTTCTTTATCTTTCAGAAACGGCCACCCTTCGGACATCGATGTTCGAGACCGAACAGTGCAACAGTATCTGGCTGAGAAGGAATTCGCCCTCATCGTGAGTTTGACTATGCGGAGAACAGGATACAGGCGCTTTTCCGCCTTTGTTACTCGTGGTAAGTTGGATCAGTTCGACTGGCTAGTTCTGAAAGTCAAACTGTTTTTCATCGATTATTTGAGGAGTACTCAGGTTGAACGTTGTTATGCTTGTGAAAAAGAAAGTTAAAACGCACTATCCCTGGCAAGATTCCGCGTGCTTCACACCTTCCAACTGCAAAACGCTGTTGCAGAAGTGATCCGACACCCCGTTGATTTTAGCTACTACCGAACAGTCAGCAGAAATGATCGATCGGTAATGTTATCGGCTTTAGTGATCACATCACTAGGGTAATTTATGTATGCATCAACGGAGCTCTTGTGGCTTTCTCAAATCTTATTCATCTATCTAGACGGTGCGACAGTAGCTTCTCAGTCAAAGACCGAGGCTACAACACTTCGACAAAGTTGGTACCACAATGCCGATCAGTAGCATGGTTCCCGCACTAAAATTTTAAGAAACTAGTCGTATTCAGTCACAAGATCTTACGCGATATCGCTTGGATCCTGTAGGAGCACGGATTGAGCACTAATGACATCTGCTGGTTGATTTGTGTTAGGACAACTTTGGGTGCCAGACCGGGGTTTGGGAGATGTGAACGGATCACTTGGGTATGTCATCTTTCGTATGTTCGTTAGTCATATCTCAAAACGTGTTTTGAGCCTTTGCAGTTAGGCCAAATTGTGAGGAAGGCAGTCGATGACTTGGCCAGAAGATATGAAAAAATCGGCTGAGAATTCATCAGGTTGGCGCGCATCTGAATGGGGGCACCTGTAGTGGTATACCTTTTCGACGTGGCTCATTAAGGAGCGCTCCTGCAGTCTAGCTCTTGCATCTAGCTATTGGCATACCAGCCACCTCTTTTTTCGGGTCCCTCTAATGTGCCTAATATTCATTCCACTCCCACCACTGATTTTTGTCAATCTCTAGAGATCGAAGAAAGTAGAAGCCACGATTAAAATTCACGCACAATAATATGCCTCGACGGGGAGTCGAACCCCGGTCCACGAATTTCCGGTCCGTTGCTCTACCACCTGAGCTACCGAGGGCTGACGGAGGGCTAAAGGACAGGAACTTCGGTCTATTGGGAAGCGACGGGTGAGTGAGCCAATCTGCAACATCAGGACAGGTACTGTGAGCTTATTGGCAACACGTCGCGCACCAAGCAGAAGACATGTGTTAAAATTTGCGCACCTAATCGTCAGCCCTCGGTAGCTCAGGTGGTAGAGCAACGGACCGGAAAATCGTTGCGCCGGGGTTCGACTCCCCGTCGAGGCATATTATTGTGCGTGAATTCTAATCGTGGCTTCTACTTTCTTCGAACTTTACACTACTCACAAACATCCACCACCATTAATCTCTAGAGAGCCCGGAGTTATGACAACTGGATCCGCCGCACATCGTTATTCGGCTCATAGCTCTCTGGCTGAAACTTCACTAAGAGAGTGTAAATCAATAGCGCCTGACTTGAGACCGCACTCCGCGGCTCATCTATTGTTGTTACTCGTTTACACTGTCTCGATTGCAAGCAGACTGTTGTCATCGTTCCTACATATGTATTGTGCGATGTTCGGTGACATTTTCACCGCATCTTTATTCTTGCAGTGTGACAAGAAGTGCAGTTAGATGCAACAAATGTGACAAAAGGCCGACTTATTCGTCTCACTGGTTGTTAAGACACATTATCATTGTAGCGACAAGTTGCGATCTCCTACAAATGTCTATCTCCCCCACTCTGATTGTGATCGAGATCTCCATACCAAAATATCTCGATATCTTTTCGCCCCAGAATCTCTCTTAGTCTCGCACCTTTGTGAAACTATTCAACTAGTCAGATAACTTATGCGCCCAGGTGCTACGTGTACCCCGTAATTTAATATGCAATTTTGTGCCTTCATATACTATCCCCCATCGATTACGCTACTCCGCTATCATCTCTGCACTACTTCAGCAAAACTACATATCTTTTCTGTGGTCGGTAGGGCACACTTCTAGATGCATCCGTTTATCTAGAGGTTTATTAGTTGATGTGATTTTTTCTACGCATACAAATTTTATTCCAAGATCCTAAACAATTGGCTTCACATCCACTGTGCAACAAGGCTATTATTTCCTTCAACACTTCCGCACCACTTCATTGTATCGTAATGCTATCGGTCACGTATGGTTGCTGACCCAACGAAAGTGAACCACGCTACGCGAGCGTTTGTCAGAGCGACAATTGCTTCATTTTCCTAACACTGCATATTACCGAATATAAACCCGTCCATAGATAGACCCATAGTATATCTTTGCAAATCAAATTTGTCCAAAATCCTAAGTCCCCAAAGAAATCAGCAGAAAGGCAAACTGATTTCTTTCTCCATGAATTTGACGTCAACACTACCTGCTCTCATTTGAGTGAGTTCGAGCGAAACCTGCCCTACTACTCTTTTTCATCATCATCATCATCATACACGTTAGCTAGATGTGAGAAATACCTCAGCTACTGTGCCGCAATACCTAAAAGACAAAGGGGAAATGCAACAGATGCAAGTCAGCTGAGCTACCAGTAACGGATGGTCATCCTTCCGGTGCGCTAACAGCCGGCTACTATACAGCAAAAATATCTCTTATACAAAATTATATAACGCTAAGAAGTGAGATCGTGGTTGGAGGGGAGGCTAAGAAGTATGGGGTGGGACAAAGAAACTCACAGCACGAACGCCATTGAGGTCGGCTCCTAGCAGTGTCAGCAAGTCATCATCATCATCATCATACACGTTAGCTAGAGGTGGGGAGCACCTCAGCTACTGTGCCGCAGCAAGTCAGCAAGTGTATTCAGCCAAACTTGTTCATCGTCTTTCGGACCCCAACCAGGGAGCCGAGGCCAGCTTCAAAGTGAGGGCCTTCATTCCTCTCGACCAAGCCATCGCTTAGCCACCTCTCCTCTTCTTCCATCCACACCCGCCGAGCAAACAACGTACGTCGCGGGAGTCGGTGGGCTGGCATGCGTAACACGTGGCCCAGCCGTCGGAGCCTAGTGCGTGAAATAACGAAGGCACCGGTGGTCGAACTTAACTAGCCCCTTTATGTCCGCTGATTTAAGGGGCCAGGTTTCACAACCCTACAGTAGGGTCGAACGTACCGCTGTATTGTACACTCTACCCCTCAGAGCGAGAGTGATGTCGCGCCGGCGCCATAAGTGGCGAAGGTTATCAAAAGCGTCTCGAGCTTTTGCTATACGGTTCGTGATCTTATCTTCAATCCCACGGGCGCTGATACAACTTCCCAGGTAGTTGAATTTTTGAACGACTTCTAGCTGATCCCCACCAAGGGTCAGCGAAGGAGGCGGTCCAGGCCAATCTTGGAGGAACGCTTTGCACTTCGAGGGTGGGAAGCAAAGCCCGAAGTGACTGACAGCCAGTGCTAATCTGTCCAGTGCAGCTTGGCACCTTTGTGAGCTGTCACAGATTAGGGCAATATCGTCAGCATACTCCAAGTCAAGAAGTCGTTCTCCTGGGAGCAGCTCCACACCTAAGTCGTGTCATGCGAGCGCGATCTCTATGACTTCTCTAATAGCGAAGTTGAAGAGAAAAGGTGACAGCGGGCATCCTTGTCTCACACCACTGGAGATATTAAAGGGCGACGACAGCTTGCCGTAAGCCCTCACTCTGCCTGAGCTACGCGCGTATAATGCTCGATTAATATTTACCTATTTCTCGGGTACACCTTTTTTGACTAGGCAGCCCCAAAGGGCACGTGTTATCGACCGAATCGAATACACTTTTGATATCGAGGAACACGACAACGGTGGGCCGCCAATATGTGTGACGGTGCTCCAACAACTGACGCAAGGTGAAGATGTGGTCAATGCAGCCACGACCTCGACGAAACCCGGCTTGCTGTTCACGAATGTGGCTTTCACAAGTGCGTTAGTCTGTGAAGAATGACAGAGGCAAGCAATTTGGAGGCGATGGAGATCAGACTGATTCCTCTATGGTTGCCGCATTCCGATCGTGAACCTCCCTTGAAAATTGGGACTATGACGCAGTGGCTCCAGTCCGTAAGGACAGTTTCCTGCTTCCACAGTTTCACTAGTAACTCGTGTAATTCATCCACAAGAGCAAGTCCCCCGAATTTGAAGAGGGTTGGAAGAAGATCATCTGGTCCCGCGGCTTTATTTAACTTCAACAGTCCGATCTCACGTTCGACTTCTGAGCGAGAGGGTGGATCCAAAGGGACAGCCCACGGAGCAGGGCGATCACTGGACGGCGAAGAATCGAACAATTCCGACCGATTAAATTGCCTTTCAAAGTGCTCAGCCCAGCGCTCTAAACGTTTTGACAAATTGTGGATAGGCTGTCCACTCTCGTCACGTATAGTTTCACTAACACCAAATCTTCTGCTGCCCGTTTCCCGTACCAGACGGAATAACTTACGATGGTTACCAAGCGCAGCGGGCATTTCCATCTCAGACGCACGAAGAGACTAACAGGATTCGCGGTCTCTCTAGAGGCTAGCACGGAGCTTTGCCCGGAGCTCTTTGCGAGTTTCATTGTGTTCCCTTCCAGCCGGAATATGCCGGCGAGCATCGATAAGTTCCAGAGACTGCGAAGAGACCCGGTGTCTATGTTGACGATTAGAGTTACCATATGAGGATTTGCCTGGTTAACATGAGACCAGTGAGCTTCATTGTATCCAGTGAGCACTTACTCAACTCGCATGACATCGTACTTTGTTAGGCATTCAGAACAGCTGGCTTCGTCAGTTGGCTCGTGTCACTGCGCTCACAGCGTCGTCGTGGGCGTCCGCCAAAACGCATCCGCAGGTCAGCACATACCAATGCATGGTTGGTGTCTACTATTGGTCAGTTGTGGTGACCGTAATGTGTTATGATCGTCGTTAATGCGGCGTACAGCCGTCAGAACAAGGACTCACCGCACCATATGTCGGGTCACATGAAACAGGCAAGACAGCCGAAAAGGTAAAGTGTCAGACACGCCGCGTCGCATAATCGGCGGCCACATGCATATCAACCACAGTAGAGCGGTGGGTGAGAGTGAAGTTCACGGTCACTGGTGTGCAGTGAATGCCTGGGTGGATTTTGTATGTGACGTTATTTCCAATTGCGTATAACCTTTGTATAAGCCGACTCCCTCTCTACAGAAAGGAAAAAATGTTCAAAAATCATCGGCTTATATTCGGTAATATACGATGCTCTCATTTATAACAGCAACCTCATTGGTAATGAATCGTGAGTGCACGTTCCACGATGATGCGAGAATCGACGTTGATGTCTAGTAACAGCATAATGCAGTGATGAAGCTAGGCCGTTGCGTTCCGCGATTTCCGGACGTTATCGGAATTGACTTACACCACGAGTTAGAATTATTCTATCTTGTGGCGTCAATTTTGTGATTAAAGAAACACTGTGTTTTTTCTTCCCGTGTACAGGTTCCATCGGATGACTGATAAACCTTAAGTACGCGGATGATATATTTATTTGAGGATCGGGATCATACCCTGTGCAAGTGCTTGTGGATAGGTGGACAGCATGTGTTACCATACTGAGCTGTCGCGTAGCCAGTTCTCATTAGCATCGGACAATTACTCGAAGTGGATTGCTGTCTCATTTTTATGCTAACGTCACAAAGGAAGTCACTGCGCGTATCAGAATGAACCAAGTGTTTTTTCAGTTTTGTTCCAATATGAGGGCGACGGAATGTGGGCCCCTCGGCCAAGATCACTGTGTACAAGGTGCTTTGCGGCGGTGTTCTTGTGTGCGAATCAACTGCATCGTCGTTTATGTCTCTGAGCATCATTAAATGATTAAATTTGTGCACCTAGTGGGACCACCCGCTCTGCTGTCTCAAATCCTTTCTACGATTTGGCGGTTCCCCGTTTAATTTTTTTTACTTTCCACTTCACTGCTACTGGCTTTTGTAGTTCAAACTGCACGAATATTTGTAGTGGGGCCACCTTTGATCCATCACTGCAACGCGAATCGTAGTATCGGTTGGATTACCCTGGTGGCACGTGGACAAGTGCCGCAGACTGTGATTGAATTCGCCAAAGCAGGTTTGATTTCTTGTCCGAAAACCGAAATTTCAGAGCGATCTGACCTGTTTAACGCAAACTGCACTTCCTGTTTCACGGACAACCCTGAATTTGCGAGCTCACTTCTTGCCATCGTCCCTATTCCCTTTTTACACTGACAGGCTATATGACTAGGAGACTGGCTGTGGAAACCAATGTCCCACTGATCACCGATGTCAAAGTGTTCAAGCTGCTGGCCGAAGCGTTGTTCCGACGATACAGCGGTCAGCTGTCCGTTGGCAAGGATTTATCTCATTCAACACATCCACCGGATGTGCAAAGCCGTCTCCTGCCCATCCAATGTATTACATCCAGTCAGATCCTATATCTTCCCGGATTAATTGATGTGCACGTGCACACAAGGTTGGTTTTGGATCTTCGTGTCGTCTTTGCTGTTTGCGAAATTTCATGGAAACCATTAGTTTTGTGAGGAATCTGCTTGACTCTGAGTAGTCGCCCACCCATCCACGCTTGCACACTATCTAATGAGTAGCACCCATTACTGATCCGTTGTTTAACCATTCTCTGTTCGCTTTCTCGCTTTTCGTCAGGGATCCAGGGCATGAGTACAAGGAGGATTGGAGCACCGTTACGATGGCTGCTTTGGCCGGCGGTATCGTCACGATATTCGCGATGCCAAACACCGATCCTCCTGTCATAGATGAATCGTCCCTTCGTGTGGCCTCCGAACGGGCAGCTGCTCGTGCGTATTGCGACTACGCTCTCTTCGCTGGCGCGACAGCGGAAAATATCGCTACTGTGGGTCAGCTTAGCTCTTCGGTCATCGGGCTGAAAATGTACCTCAACGAGACGTTCAGTACGCTTTCGTTGGTTGGCCAAATGGATGTCTGGCGGAAGCATCTTGAGGTATGCTGCATACAACTCCCTTCCCTTTACTTGACTGTGTTGGACGCACAGAAGTGCGGCTCACCTATTATCAGCGCTACCCCTTTAACGATCTTACCTTCTTCTCTCGGGAGATGGATCGGCTCAAGGCTCAGAAAATGAGCCCCGACGTGGGAATATCGCTCACTACATAAGAACTCTGTACATCCTCACGAAATTATAACTACAATCCAGCTAGTCTCGACCATTTTAACTGTACTCTACTCGCTCCAACCCGATGACGGTTGTCGTAAAGCATACTGTGCCTGTTCTTCGTGCGCGTGTTACAGTGCTACAGAAGCAATGGGAATACCGTCCCATTAACTCTACATTGAGTCCACATGATTGCCCATTGCAAGCGACCGGAACCTTTTGCCAGGGTCCGAGTATCCTGACCCTGAGTGCTTGCCCATTATGTTTAAATTCCACTGTGGGTTTTTCACACTCTTCCTATGCCTCAGTACTATGGCTTGTCGACTAGATTTATGATTGTATAACAGCGAACCGCCCGTATAAACTGTTGATGAGTTGATTATCCCATTCTTTCAACTTGGCCTCAGAGTCTGTCACACTTTACATCTCCTCTCCATTGACTTTCCCCTTATCATGTGTAAATTCTTTGCAGCTATACTCGATATTACACAGCTGCTGCACTTCCAATTAAAACCCAGTAACAGTACGCTTCTCATTCACCCAACGCATTGGAAGTCAAACATAGAATCACGCGACTTGTAAATCGTCGACCTATGTGACCGAACTGTAGGCAATGATAGCAGCCTACTGTGATTAACTGGTAGACCGTTATATTCCTCGCTCCGTTCTCCACCGAGTAGCCCGGTAGTGTTGGCACAACTTCCCCCACAGCAATCTACTTCGGGCCAACAGTGATTTTAATCAATTAGTCGGTGGTGTTAATCGTGCTTAACAATGTCTAGCTGCGACGAACTTGATTGAAACTCTTCTAACCCGCACGATGCTTCGCTCTTGCCTTTTTGATTCTTATCTTGATTATTCTGTTTGAATCTTCAAAGCAACACCCGCCACTGTTGAATGCCTGATATGAGTATGGACACTTCGCACAACAAACATCGGCCGCACATAAGTGGATCAACGACCATTCCACTACCAATGTTTGGCTTCCGTAATCTTCGGCACCGTATCACTTGCGAATATCGCTCAAAGAATGGTTTCGTGATCCATCGCCTGTTATAAATAAACGAATGATACATTTCCCAAAGGTACGGTAGACTGATTACTTGGTCTGATCATTTTATGCAACACGGTCGGGTAGTGGAGATAGCTTTTAGATTTTCTCAATATAGTCTCCAAAGTAGTATTTGGGGTGTACTATCGTTCACCAGTAATGCAAGATGAAGAGGTTGAAAATAGGAATAGATGTAGGCGCATAGCGATCAGTTAAAGTAAAGCACTACAATCATCCGTGGAACCGTCTTCTGGGGATCTGCTTCCATGCGAGTGGTTTCATCCGCACTTCTACGCCTCATCTGGCCATCTGTGCTCTGATGTGACTTAAAAGCAGCTAAATCAGCGCCAATGGAGTGCAGGAAGAAATCACCGACCGTATAGCAAAAACGAGATGATTTTGCCAATCACTGCTACGTGGGTCGTCGGCGCGACATCACTCTCGCCCCGAAGGGCAGAGTGTATAATGCAGCCGTTCGTTTAACCCTACTGTATGGTTGCGAAACCTGACCCATCAAGTCGACAGACATAAAGAGGCTAGTCACGTTCGATCATTGCTGCCTTCACAGCTTAGTTCGTGTCTGGTGGGACCACCATGTGAGCAACGAGCATGTTCGGCGCTTTGTTTGTGGCACAGGAAGAGCGAGTGAATCGCTCAGCACCGTTATATCACGCACCAGACTCCGATGGCTCGGCCACGTGTTGCGCATGCTAGCCCACTGACTCCCACGATGTGCGTTGTTTGCGCACCGGGGGTGTGGATGGAAGAAGAGGAGGGGAGGTCAAGAGTAATGAAATCCTTCACTCGAAATTGGCGTTGGTTAGTGTCTCCCGGTTGCCTGGCTGGAGTGCGAAGGACGAGGAACACGTTTGGTTGGATACAGTAGTTGACATAGCAAGAACCCCACTTCAATGGCGTTTGTGTTGAGTCTCTTTGTCCTTCCTTATTCTGCTTATCTTCCTCCTCCAACCTAGAGCTCCATCTTGACGTACAGTATGTTACTAAGTAGTGCAACGTCTGCTTTTTTGCATTTTATAATTTTCAGTATCTTGCTTTTTCGTATGTCTTGCGGTACAACAGTTTTTTTTCTTACCTTCAGCTAATGCGTAATGATCAGGACTTAAAAGCCAGCAAGGCGTCATTATGTTGTGTCTCGTTTTTAGGATCGCTGTCAATTTCTTGGCACTAATGCCATCCAGCCCATTCCACTTTTCAACTGTTTCGAATCTTGCACTTTTGGAATCGCCAGCGATTCCGTGTGAATTCGCTTTGATTTGATATACCGGTTCACTTAAAAGCCTCAATACGTCACTTCAAGAGATCGGTCCAATCATACCCTACACTGCTTTTTCGCAGTTTCATGTGTAGTAAGTCCTACGTCAACAAGGATAGCTCAGTAGGGATAGAAAACAATTAAAATCGTCAACTAATATAGTCGAGTGTTAGAAATAACGGAGTGCACGTAAGAGCCTCAGCGACATCGTGGCCGCATTGTGTCTGGTATAGAGTATCGGATCATTGATATGGTCGATCACAATGATTTCATTCACGAAGACGAGAAGCACCAACCTTACATAGTCTTTCGGTGACTTGTCACGTCATTGTTTGACTACACCTCGAGATTTCACCCAAACTGACGCAGTATTGGCACACCCACACAGTACACGCCGGGGCAACCGTCTCGCATGGGTGCTGTTTGAGTTCAGCTGAAACTATGATACATCGATAGAAGGTATGATGCTAGCCAAACTTCAGAGGACGAACTACAGCATTACCGGTTCGGCTCTTCCACCAGTTGTTCCGTACATTTCACAGGAAACGGTGATCAAACGCTCTCAGTGTCTTCATATTTTCTCATCGCCTAGCGGTAGAGTCTCTTGTTCATACAACAAACTGTTAGCATTGCTGCATCTTAGATCATTCTTCCGTCATTTTCGAAAAGCCACACGAGCCTTAGCAATTTATACCCTGCCTCTTTAGCGGTGTGATTGTCGGAGGTGATATTGCTAAACAAATAAGTAAACTATCGCCCATTTCGGCCTTGATTTCTGCGAACAGGCGCTACGTCGACGCGGCCTATCCAATAGCACTTTTACAGAGGCTGGCGCCAAATTAGTGACAGCTATTCCATCCGCCTATCTTGATAAGCGGTCAATAAAGAGGCCCGCTGCACAAGAACTAGTGGAGCGGGATGGTATTCATCCGTGCGCATTCCGGTTACCGATCTTTTAAAGTACACGCATACGCGAACAATAACAACAATCGTAGAGGACAATGCATCTTAAAAAAACATCTCTCCAATTCATGATGATGCTCATTAGCACAACTGAGTAATAATAATAATAATAATAATCCCAATCGCACTTTTATCTGTTTAGGCATGGCCCAAAACTCGACCGGTGTGTTGTCATGCAGAAGGCGAGACCGTGGCAGCCATTATTCTCTTGGCTGAACTGACTGATCGCCATGTGCACATATGTCACGTGGCAAGAAAGGTTGAAATCGAGTTGATTGCTCGAGCGAAAGCACGAGGTCTGAAAGTCACCTGCGAAGTTTGTCCGCATCACCTATTCCTCACGCAGGACGATGTGCCCAACGTTGGCTCTTGGCGTAAGTCTAAGTTGTACTTGTCAATTTGGTCTGTGGGTTTTGGCCCCTTTTAGTATATTTATTTCTTCTGCTCAGCTGCGACCGATTAAACTTGGTGGTTGATGTAATCTCTGTATGATGAGCGATAAATTCAGCGGTTTCTTAGTGTATTTTGTACTGCGATACCTTTTGTCTGGTCTAAACTTTGTTATTTTACTCACTTGATGGTTATCTGAGGTGGGGACATCTACGCCTTCAGCATTGCACTTGACGACTGATTTCATCCTCGTTTGTACCCCTCATTTAGAGATGCCTTGAGCTGGGGTTCTGGACCACCAAACTCTTTTATTAACGGTAGCTACAAAGATGAGAAACGCACTATTGGATTTTCGAAAGATTTACTGCGTCCAAAGGGTGCAGCATGCCACTCCGCTTGAGTCTTGATTTATCGTCAAGTAAACCTGGACTTGTTAGATTACTAGGACCGTATTTGAGGCAGATAAGACGACTATTGATCGTTTCACAACAAACGTTCTGACGTAGACTTATGCTTACTAACCTGTCTTCTGGTTGACATTTACAGATGAGGTGCGCCCGAGACTGGGAACAAAGGAAGATATCGACGCCCTGTGGGCCAATTTGGACACTATCGACTGCTTCGCTACTGATCACGCGCCTCATCTGCCGTCCGAAAAGGCTGCTCAGAACGGGCCTCCCGGGTTTCCGGGTCTGGAGAGCATGCTACCTTTGCTGCTCACCGCGATGCATGAAGGTCGTTTAACGCTCAGCGACCTGATCGAGAAGCTTTGTGTCAATCCAAAGCGTATATTTAACCTATCGAGCCACCAGTGTCAAACAGGCGTCGCAGGAGACGTCGCAGACCGCTGCGGTGTGTTCGACGATACCTGGGTTGAAGTAGATATGGGTGCCGAATGGTATTTGCCTGGCGCATACCTTGGGACCGATGCACAACCTGCGTCAGGTATATCCGAGAAATTGCATACTCGTGCTGGTTGGAGTCCTTTTGCCAATAAGCGCGTGCGGGGCCGCGTCCGACGAGTTATGCTCCGTGGAGAGCTGGTTTTCGTTGACAATCGAGGTAAGTCATCCTTCATACATAAGCACTGTGCATGCATAGATACAGCGGGTCGTATGGTCTCGAATGCTTTCACTTTGATGTGTGTTCATAACGCTGGTCTTCGATTACTCACTAGAATCCTGTTACACATGGCACACCGAGGTCTTGGAATATATTTGGAACCGATCGAGAAGTCATGGTTTCAGAGAAATTTGTGAACAATCGGTTGGTTTATTTATTTGGCAATGCTTCGCTTTTAACGCGAAAGCTTCTTCAGGTCATATGAATTGGTACATAGTTGATGTGACATTTTATATCGAATGATGAAAAGACAATAAAAGTAGACAGAAAGGATGACTTGATAAACTATTTAAACTCTAGTGACTAAGGAACAAACTTCACCGTGGACTTGGAGTCGTGCAGTGGTACAATACAATTACTTGAGTACCTAGTTGATAGAAATGGAGGAAATTTGAAAACAACAATCTTTCGTAAGCCAACAGATAACGATGGGATACCCCATTGTACTTCAGGTCATCCAAAGCACGATTACGGGGGGACAGCCCCATCGCTGTTGCACAAGGCACACACCCTGTGCACAAGGGAAGAAGATAGAAGGGCTGCACGGAAAGAGATGATGAGCAAACTAATAGACAGTGGTTATCCGCGACGTCTAGTGGAACGTCAGACATAAAAGGTATTAAACCCACAGTCTAGGTCCACAATGCAGTGGGTAGGGAGAGTGGGAATTCCTTACAAAGAAGGAACTTCGGAAGAAATTCGGAGGGTATTGAACAAGGAAGGTATAAGGATGATATTCCGGCGTGGCCAAACCCGACGTTCAACGCTGGTGCGCCTGAAGGATCCATTCCCACAGATAGGACGACTAACCGTGCGTACAGAATTAACTGCAAAGACTGCGCATAAATATATATTGGTCAGACAGCGAGAGAGCTACGTACACGGATCGTAGAACACAAAGGAATGAGCTTGAATACAGAGCTCTATTAAGAGATTCTGCCATAGTTCGGCATGCGTTGGACACCGGGCATCAGATCGATTTGGATAATGTCGAGATCATTAGGAAATGTTTGAGAGAAAAGCCTCGGAGGCGATCGAAATCGCTAAAGCTGATAGCTGTTGGAATAGAATAGAGGTGGTGGAACTCGACTGCGTGGAGAGCTGTCTTAAACCAGCCTGTCTGACGAGCATCGATACGCGGGTCAGGTTGGATAGCAAAGATCTACATCATCATCTACACCAAGGGTTTAGATGACAACATGGCGGACACTGAACTTTCTGGAATAGCCCCACTCGGACTGCCCACTTGTGGTGACTTTTCAACCTGTGTCTGTATTAGTCTTCTTGACTCATTACTCGGGATTATCTCCCTCATTCACTATAAAATGTCGCACCAACTTGTACCAATTCCCCTAGACTGAAGAACCTTTTTGTGTCAAAAGCAAAATGTTACCAATTAGATAAATCAGCCGATTGTTCACAGATCTCTGAAAGCACACCGATAGGCGGTTCTGTATGCTTTCATATGTGAGTAGACATCCTACTGCTAAAGTAATCAGTAGTACTGGATTAAGAAACGCTAACGATCAACACATAACTCCAGTGGTTTATGAGCCCAGTTGTGTAGTGGCCTAGCAACATCATGCTCCACCGGATAAGTCCACCAGTGGAATGCGTTAACCGCTAAGTTTAATATGGATCTCGAACGCTCCAAGTGTTTCTTGGTGCAGGGTCCCCCAGCATCAATCCAGAGGTCTGCTTCTCCGTGCACTAGCAACAGCTGAATCGATTTGCACCCAGTTGTTTCAACCTTCTCTATGCTCGCAAAAGAAGTTGATCCATGCTCTACAGCTTCCATGGCCAGCTAGAACGAACGATGCTGAAGTCGACTGCCACAGATCAAGCTCTGTACTATGCAATTGACCTGTCAAGTCAAAGATCAACTTTTAGTCACCCACATTGAACCGCAAAATAAACTGTAATTTGAGCCAATAAATCGATTTTGGTTCTTAAATATCAATGTATAGTCTGAAGAAAATTCTCAAAAACAATTGTTCACTTGTAGTCACGTGTTTTCGAATTATTTAATTGCGAAAAGCCAACAGTTCTTAATGTTCTACGTAAAAACCGCCCTTACTACCGTCGTAACAGTGCTTGCTACCCAAATCCCAGTAAACCCTGGGCAGTTTGTCTCTTATCTAACATTATTTATCAACCCCTACGCCACTTTCAATCTGCTCCGCATTCGGACTGCCAAAACCGTAGGAAGCAACAACCTGAAGTCATTGAACACCGGACAACACATCCTGCCAAGCCTAAAATATAGACGGCCTCTCACTTTTCACTCACGAACTGCCATCCCTTACACGGGGCGCGGGAGTGGTACCACAATCACTTCTATCATTGATACATCTAACAGAAACAAACGATTCATTTTCACTCTTCTTGCAGTTTGCACACATGACACGAAAGGCTCTTTACCAAGTTTTCGTGTATCAACCAGCGCTACCGGCAATCACGACAGAAAACACACCCGTCTGTTTGTGTACATTAGAGGCTGCATCTGACCCTTCAATTTCGAAATTTACGCTCCACAATTCTTAATCCCATTTAACTTTTTCAACAACCCCGCCAGCAAGATCTGTTAACAACAACTTTCACTTTCTAAACATGGTTGCACCGTTGAACATTCAAAGTGTAATCCAGAAAATATCTTGGTCACCAAATCCAACCTGTAGACTACTATGGCTATGAGTTACAAAACCTACTAGATTAACTGACATACTTGATTTAATACTTACAAATCGTCGATCTGCTGGAGAGTCTCCTTAATAGTGACTGCAAAATATTACAATTTATCTTCGCTATTAGAATACATGTCAATGCACAACATAATATTTAACATTATATTGTTCTTTGAACATTTTTGTAGTGTGTAATTTTTAGTATTTTTCTTGTAAAGCGACACATTAGCTGAGGTGTACTTCTCACCCTCAGCTAACGTGTATTGATGATATCAATTTGATTCTGCTACCACAATGTAAAATCCAGGGAATTAGTTGGACACATATCCAACATTTGGTCCGATCTTCCGACTGGGATGCATTTATCCTATACACCAGCTCTATACCAACATTCACAAGGCCATAACGCATCTTACTCCACAAAGTAAATGTGTTGCTTGTGGCTTTTTAAGAACACAGGAGGGCACTTACTCAATCTGAAGAAGTGAAAATTGCTAGCAAGATTTCACAAGACTGGAGACTTTTCAACAGTGTTGAAAGTGTACGAATGGGCCACAAGCATTGCGACTCAAAAGCGAGGAAGAAATTCTTTACGAACGGGTTACATGGCAAAGAAACTCATTGCTATTCCTTGACATAGAACCAACAACGGTTCTTCACGTTTCACAGGACTCTTGAATGAACATGGTAAAACCTCTAGGGACCCATGTGCCATTTTTGAGGCGTTTAGTGCCTTCTTTGCTGCCTCCAAGATTTTATAATCTGACCCCATAGATAAATGATCTCAATCCATAATAACCAAGAGCTCACGCAGTGTCTAAATTTCGCCCGATGATTTTCAGCAAACAATGAAGACTATCAAACCTTTCCTCTGGTCTCACTCCGATGGCATCCTATCAACTGCCATTAGAATGGGTGAACTCGATTTACCACTACTCTAGTTGAATATGTTCACCTTTCCACTACGAATTAGTTGTTCTCTTGATCAATGCAAACCCCCATCATCATCATCATCATCATCCCACGTCATAAAAGCTGTCCCGAACAAAAAGTCGCGAAGTACCGACCGATTCATCATACTCTCCCACCATCGTCATTCTGTTTGAAAATATAATCAAGAAAACTTTGGTGGAATTCCTTAATTCTCTGAACCTGTTTAACACACATCTCAACGTCGCTTCCCCGATGGATGTTCCTGCACAACCTGCCAGCTCCATTACCTTAACTACACTTTGGAATTCATAGACTCCTGCTTTTTAATCATAATATTATTTTTGAATCTAGAAAAAGCATTTCACCACCCAGCTCACAAACAGTTATTTAAAAAACAGAGTCCTGTGCAGTTCGGAACACGCTTACGTCCTACCTTGACAATCAATTTCAAATAATCCTCCTTCTTTACGCTCACCCAAGTAATGTTGGGGTTTTATAGGAAAATACGGTTGCGTATTATTACGTCCCGTCTGCGCATGCGTGCGGATGCCACAGTAACTTGGCCCTTTGTATTGGCATACCCATCAAAAATGACCAACTTTTTTATTTGATGATAACGTCAAGAGTGTTAATAAATTCCGGCATGATGAGATCCAGAACGTACAACTCTTAATTCAAGTTGATCTTCACTCCCTTGAGGAATGGTCTGGCACGTGGCTGATGAAATTCTTGGCTGAAAAATTAAGCATTATGTGTTATGGTTGCTCGATCCCCAAAGGGTCAGTTAGACAATAATATAATTAGGTCTACATGATTGTCTAACAGGGATCTTGGAACCCGGTATTCTTCCAAATTTCGCTTCTCTGAACAAACCCAACACCACATAGCCCGAGCCAGACAATCCGTGGCTAACATATGTCACAAAATCCGTACGGTCCCTGCCAAGTTCGAATTACTCAAAATTTTCGCTTGCACTATCCTTGAGTACTGTAGCTTCATCTATGAGGGCATGCAGCAGATGAACAGGAAGGCTATGGAAAATTTACAGAGGTCATTTACGAAACGTTTGTTCATTAGTACATCTACTCTAAACTACCGCGAATGTTGCAAGCTGTTTCACATCGAACCTCTCTGGCTGCGACGTCTAAAGCAAAATTTGATGCTGCTTCACAATTTGTTGCATCAGAAAACAAGGAGTTTACGCTACTGATACCAAGGGCTAGAACAACCATGCGCTCCAACGTTTTCCTCATCAGATACACCGTCTTGTGGAACAGCCTGTCAACCGCAATCAGGGTATGTGAAAATCCGACATCATTCAACACCAAACTCGACAGTCTTAGATCTCTTCCGACAAATCACCTGATGAGATATTCCAGCATGATCCAAAAAGATATCTGAAGAGCTAAATTTTGGCGCCAACATGCATTCATGCAAACGCATGATCATTTCTGTACATACTGATCTGTACCTAGTTTAGGTACAGTTTCTTACACTGAAGAGAAATATACGTATGTATACTACTTATGCTGCAGTTGTCTTTCTACACCTCTCCGTCCCGACGGCACTCGCACTATATAACTCCCTGCAACGTCCTTATGTCCCTATTCTTCCACTTTAAGCAATAACTAGAGCATGTGCTTCCGTTTGCGTGAAATCATCCGAACATCCATCTGTTTGCTTTCCAGTTCTAGCCAAGCCTGGCTTCGGCAAAAACCTTGTCACACAGTCAGTAACTGCGCCGATTAAACAATTCTCTGATCTGCCAAGCTTGGAGACAACAGATCGAGCATTGAAGATATCTCCTCCACTGATGTCTCCTAGACTCCGTTTGGAATCATATGGAGAACGAATACAGGTGTGTTCTTGTAATCCGCTTATCAACCTTTCGATAAATCTTTGAGTCATCCAATTTGATGATATGATTTGCAGACGCTCATATTATCCATTCTAAAGATACCTGGCGGCTGATCGAAAACTAGCGGGGGTTCACCGACCGGTGGTAACCATTGGTTCGAGTAATTAATCAGAACGTTCGAGCGTTGAGAACTGACACCATGTGGTGCAACGGTCTTGAAAAAATGAAGTTTTGTAGAGGTTCATCGCTGCCACATTCAGTCAAATAAGCACCAGAGAATCGCTGGACGGCCGTTTCGCTTTATTGAAACTCGTCAGCAGCGCGTACCTGTCCAGATGACCACTGGATTCAAATCCACACTTATCCGTCAATCAGGCAGTAGTGTAACCCACTAATCCATAAATGGATACGACGGACCTCCATCGCTGATTACTAACTGCGATGCGGCGGGACTCAGCGTGTACCACAATGTGAAGGACAGTGGTCTCGTAGGGCCACGATTTTCCCCGCTTATTATCCGATAGTGTTACAAGCCAGCTCGGACGATCACCAGTTGATGAAATTGGAATTTTCAGTCTCATCACACTAGATAAAATATTCACTCTTCAGTATAGATTATCGGTAAGGGCAAATTTCATTGTTTCAACTGTGCACCTCGAGTGTGGGTGTTTAAGCAATTTTTTTCCTGGACTCAAACTAGCTCTTAACATGCATTGCCTCTCTTTGCTTACAGGATGAGAATATGCATGCTGAACCTCGAAGCCCGGTCCACATGCCTCCGGCTTCGGTGATTTCAAAAAGTGCCCCTGTAACATCGCAGACGTGCTTTTGGATCGACGGTGTCTCCGGACAGAATGTGCTAAGTGCGGATTACTTTCCAAAACATGCTCTGCATCGGATGTTCAATTTGGCGCATAGTTTCCGCCGGGCGATAATGAAAAACAAATCTTTGGAACACATCTGCCGCGGAAAGGTATTCTTTTTTCGCTACTTAACGCCCTATGTATTGGGAGAGTGCAGTACTTATTTCACATCATTATGCACGTGAATCGCTCGAGTCATTGCTGTTAAAACAGTTGAGATACTAATTAACTACTCAAACATCATTGCCAACAGCAGTACATCAGCCATTTGAATTGATGCTTCGCTGCCGTACAACCACCGTGACCTACGGAAAGAAGGACAATAAGTGGGGAAAACGGGGACCTAGCATGAAACCTTAATGCCCTAAGCAAACATTCAAGGTCTTGGTGCCTACACCTTGTGTCAACAACATGCCGTCACAAATAGCTTATTATTGGAGAGACAACTTTCTTGCGGGTTTCACTGCCCCGCACCATGATTAGGCACTATCCCGCAGACAACTCAGCACCAAACACACTTTAAACAGGTAGTCCGACTAGAGGACGACAGCAGACGCGCCACTAGTGCCCTGTAACGTCTCGAGCCAAGCACAAAGCGAGTCACGTGGACTCCAGCCTGGAAGGCGAGACGGACCAACAGCTTCCAGTTTTGTAGTCAGTGACTTCATTTCCCGCTACCAAGTAAACCTTTGCCCATCTCGAGCTTTGCGCCACCCCATATCTCGCAAACTAAGCATGGCCATCCTCGGTAAGCGATGACCGAGCATACGTAGTACGTGCCCAAGCCAGCACAACTTATTCAGTGCTATCTGTTGTTCTAAGGAACTAGCCTGATTATCACTGCTTAGTACTCGCCTACGCACAATATCGTTGCGAAAACGCTGATGATCCCAGTTGAGTATCCAGGTGAGAGTGCTAGTCACTCGAACATATTATTATGCAAGCGATAAAACGAAATTGAATCTGCACTAAGCATCCGGCTCGTTCCATTAAGTCAAATACACCACATGGAGCGTCTGACAACCGAACCGGCCGTGCATTGGTATTTCTGACGACTGAGTGGGTTTGCCATAATTCAGTTTCTGAACATACGTATGCCTGTCCTGGTAACTGCTTTGTGTGTACACTTTGTCGACTTCTGATTTCCACTGAACAGGATTATTTTCATCTGGAATCAGGGGGTAATTGGAAAACTTAGTTTCACACCATTTGTTGGAATGGTGCTCTGCAGAGCACCGCAGTTTCAGCCGTTTTGGTGTATCCAGCGCATCTGATTAAAAAGCGACCATATCTTAGTACTTTCATGTGTTCTTCGCTACTGAATATCTTTCTAGACCACCCCATGGAATTGACTTAAGGTCTATGCGACTAGTTAAACTGGTCTTGTTCTCCCAAAATTCCAGCCGCAGTTAAGCTCAGGGATCAATGACAACGCGCGCAAAGCGTGTTGTGGACCATCTACCGAAACGACACGACTAGTGTGAAAATCAAAGGATATCAATGGATCAACCTAGGAATATTCACCTATGGAATAGCCAAGTCAGTTGCCGAAAATGGTGGTGTAGGGTCGTGATTGCGCCATATGACCTATTTGAATATTCCTCAACCGACTTGATGCTTCTACTGTAGATTATTGACTGAAATCGTCTCCCCACAGAAATAGCGGGATTTCTGGATTACTGACCTGGTATCGTCCATGGCGGTAGCCACAATGGATTGCAAAATTGTGCACAATCATTTAGAGAGTGGCTAAAGTATGAACTTATTACATATCTCAGCGAATACTAGCGTCAAGACTCTTTTAGCGGGCGTTTATGAACACAATGATTGCACGCTGACACAAGGCATTTAGCGTGCTATTTGAATATGAAACATTATTCTAGAGTGTCATCGTGTTTGTCGGTTACTCGCTCAGAGACATTGTCCACTTTGAGAACGCTGTTTTGCTGCACATCCATATATCAGAGTACTGTTTTTCCTTTGATTTATGGAAGTTTTTAGTCTGGTCAGTTCGTTGGATTGACAAGACGGCAGAAGTCGCTTTTGCCCAGATACATGTAATCTGTCCTACTGGGGAAAGTACACGTTACTACCGATTAAATAGGATGCCGTTATCTCCGTATGGTGTTCGAGGCTAGGTCCACACAAACGCACTAGGTTTGCCTCGAAACCTTGCACGAGGCCGCCACATGCGGCGCGAATATGCACTGGTCTCTCTACGAATCTACTTGTTTGAAGCGTGTATATCTCACCAAACGCTGTATGCATTCTGATCCTGGATGCTCGCTTAAGGCAATTAGGTTTTACATTGGGCCCTCGTTACTAGGACTGTTAAAGAAGCACCAGCGCAAAATGCTGACAAATTACTGCTGCTGACTCCTCGAAATGAGGGAACACTCACACAGTTGCGCGTCCAGGTTCTAGCAGGGGTCGTTGGTAGCAAACTTCATGCTGCTGGAGAAGGAAAGTTTGGTGCGTATCTCAGGAGTTCATCTCACTTGTGGCGCTGCCATAGCATCCGTCTCTCCATCGAAGGGCGGGTTTATTGCGCGACTGTCTGCACTGTACTGTTGTACGGTTGCGAGACGTGGTGTGTTCGTACCGTTGTCTATCTTCGAGAACCGTTATTTGCGGTCCACTTTCCGTATGTGGTGGCTGCACCACATAAATAATGTGGTTGGCAGCATCCGGTTCCGGATTTGCCTGTCACTGTGGCCAGCCACAGAACGCCTGCGCGTACAGAGGGACCATGGATGGCTTGCGCTGCATCATCCCCAACTCCATCCACACATCCCATATCCAGTGTAAACCCGAAGGAATAAGACCGGGAGGAATGTGGATGGGGGATACGTTTCATCAACGGAGCCGGCCCACACTCCTTCACAGACAAACACAAGCACGCTAGATTTGGGGAATCAAGCGAACACAAGACGGTGGCTGAATCGTAGTCCGCTCCACACTGAGTGCATGGAACCACTCTTCGAGCCTAGCATGGCCACAAGGACCGTGCACCCCGTCCCCTCCAGCAACGACCAACTGTCTCCTGGAGCCAGTATGGACGAGGTAATGGGTAATAGACAGGTAGGCACCCTGTCAACATGCACATCAAGCGCAGCCACATCGGAGATGTCAAACAACAGACAATCACTTGAAATGACATTATCAAATGAAATGTATCTGTTAAAGCATACGGTTTTGTCGATATAACTCTTTGCTAAATCTACATATGAGGTAAGTTGGTTATCAAGGAATAAGCGACAAGTGCAAAATGTCCACGTTACTCAACAAATGCTACAAACGCAATCAACTTAACGAACATAACCACAATTAGCGTAAGCAACGTGTGCAAGTTAATAGAAGATTATTCAGGTAGGCAGAACAAGCCAAATAAAATGGAATGAAATTTATCCAGCTTAAAAAGAACTAGTTTAAGTGTAAGTTGATTTAGCTTAACTGCGGTGAAGAAGCATCATGAATGATATATATATATATATATATATATAATATATTGCGGGATCAGATTTTGATAAGCTTAAGATTTTTTGAGCGTAGGTCGCTTGTTGTATGTCATACCTGCACAACACACCGGAACCCATAATTAGAATCACGTTTTGTTTTTAGGTCATGGCCAATATGTTTTTCGAGCCGAGCACCCGGACAGCGAATTCGTTTGCGGTCGCAATGCAGCGTTTGGGCGGTTCTGTGGTTCACTTCACCGAGTCCGTGAGTTCCGTGGTGAAGGGAGAAACGCTGGCCGACACATTGCGTATCATGGCCTCGTACGCAGACTGCATGGTCATACGGCATCCGGGCAAGGGCGCTGTGCAATCGGCGGCTCATGTGGTAAAAGATAAACCAATCATAAACGCCGGTGAGTGGTGCCCCGGACGAGTATGTATGCATATATAATTCACAAGTCGGAGTACAGCCAACGTGCCATTAGAACCATAGCAAAAACGGAAAGCGGTAGTCAAACAAAAAACAGTCCATTTTTGCACGCCGTTTTGAGCCTAATTTTTGAGCATTAAATATCAGGCAGAACAACACGGGCGCCACTGGTGTCTGTTGTGGGCCATAGCATCCAACGTTCGTAACTGCTTGGGGTCTATCGCATCGTCACCAGCCTGGAATGCGAACTGACCCGACTGGTGATAAGCATGAGCACCTTCTCCACGCCACTAGTTGTCCACCGCGGCACTTTTTCCAATCACTTCCGGGAAGCGCAAATAACGTTCTGCCTGGGGGGGGGGTCGATAGGTTGGCATATGCAATACGTGGCCGAGCCAACGCATGCGGTGTCGAAGAATAACGCTTTGGAGACAGGGTCTGTTCGCTCCAGGCACTCGGCCTGAAACTTCTGTGTTGTTTAAGTAATGTGGCCGCGATACGCGAGCAATCATAAGCAGACAACGATTGTCAAAAATAGACAATCGCTTCATGTCTTTTGAGCGAATAGGCCAGATCTCACAGCCGTACAAGAGCACCGCACGGACAGAGGCAATGTACACTTTACCCTTCAGCTTGAGAATGACATCGTGACGATGATATATAGGTGTCTCAGTCTGATGAATGCCAGGCGTGCCTCTGCGATCCGTTGTGCGACCTCATTTCCAACACCGCCGACATTAGTGGTGCAACTCCCTAGGTAAATGAAGTAAGGGACTTGTACCAGAACATCACCAGCAATTGTGAGGTCAGGCACAGGCACCTGCCAATCGTGAAGTAGTGTTTTACATCTGGCCAGCGTGAAGTGTGGACCGTACTTGGATGCGTCTATCGCTTAGCGGTTCCGTGTTTGAAACTGCATTTGGATTGTCACCCATCAAAGCGTAATCCAAGTGCGCGACCTTGTCACCAGGGAGAATTTCAACTCCGCAGTTCTGGACATCTGTGATGGCGAAATTGAGAAGTAAAGGTGAAATAAGGCAACCTTGGCGAACTACGCTGGTGACAGCAAACGAAATGGAAAGCTGCCGTAAGCTATAACTTTGCCAGCCGTGTGACTGTACAATTCCTTCAGAGTGATTATAAACTTGTCACACCTTTCTTTAGTAAGCAATTCCACAAGGCACATCTATCGACTGAGTCAAATGACGCCAGGATTTTCAAGAACACTACGATTGTTAGTCGTTGGTTGAGGTAGAGAAGTTTGAGAAGCTGTCAGAGCGTGGAGATTTTATCGATACAATTTGGCCTGGACGAAGATCGGATTGCTCCTCACCAGAAAAACTATATGGTCATTGAAAGCCTGTGAAATACAACAGATACGAACATCTCGGATTCAACAGAGATCAACTAACTTCCACGATAATTGGCCCACTCTTTGCGGAAGTATTTCTGATTTTCTCCATAAGTTGAGAACTCCCCTGTCATTGCAAAACTTAGTGATCAACAATAGGACTTCGTGAACAAGTACATCCCCGTCATCTTTGAATAGAGCCGGGAGCTATATGACACTTTAAAAATTGGATTGGCTGCGAATCTCTGCCTCGGTAGGAGGGGGGTTTGTAGGGACAAGCCATGCACCACCCGATGGAAATGGAGGTGTCACAGAGGTCTGCGCTGGATAAGCAAATTGGAGAGCAAAGCGCTCTGCCCAAAGATCCAATCGCCTTTATAGGTATGAGACCGTCGTGCTAACTCATGGATTATCTGACCGATACCGTTTGACTCGCAACCGCTGGACTCGGTAAGATAAACTGCGACAGTCTCCAACCGATGCAGCGGCTCTCACCTCAGCAACTCGTTTAGACCACCAGGATTCACGATCAAAGCGAGGACTTACTGCCAGCCGTTGAGAAATAGACCAGCGGAGTTCGCTTCCTCCCACACCGACGGATACAGCCCGTCGATGATCTAGCAGTTCCGAGGATGTTGTCGAGATCCAGCTTTTAGCTATGCAGCGGGTGAGACCGCAGCCGTACAGCATGGCTTGATACAAGCCTGACCAGTGTTGGTCAACATCGCAATGAGACTGGACCTTAATGTGGTACGATGGTTTGTGTGCCTCAGTGATCCATTAAGCTATGCTGGGTGGTGCTTTTTGCATCTTCAGAGCCACTCATACCAGACTGGTGAATGGTTATAGGCCAGACAAACTCAGTCTCCTGGCCTTCCAGGTAGAGGTTGGAGTGTGGGTGGTTCCTTACCCCATAAAACGGGCTCTGTGTAGTCCAATGCCAAAATCCCACTGCCTTGCGGTAACGTTTTTGAACCAGAGGCTTTGGTTGAGAACCTTAATCGTTCTCCTGTTTAGGCCTGGGCAGCCTGACAGTATCGTGTCCACGCAATACACCGTGACTTTTCCATCTAACAATCTATTGATGCTCTGACCGTCGCAGAGGATAACAAACAGCGCCCTATCTGCTGCATCGAGCAGGGTGGATAAGAGTTTGGATGCTACTGCTCAGACCTTCCCACCTTCTTATTCCTCCTCTTGCACTTTTTCATCCTTACCGTCCCGCTTTAACTTCACTTTATTTACTATCTCGGAATATGCTTGGAACCGACTGTGATTTCATGATTTCAGAAGGTTTGAATACAAATCGGTTTTGCTAGGGTTTTATTGTGGCAACGTTTCGCCCTTGACACAAGAGCTTCTTCAGGCCAGGTGAATCGTTACAAAATTGGCTTAGCTTTTTATGGGAACGTAAGCTGAAGGTTGCAAGTCATAACATGAACAATTGGATAATAATGTTACAGGTCAATAGGTCAAGTGGCCACGCTAATGAAACAACAAGCATCGGGCGTTTCTCATTGATCCATGTCATCGGTCGTTCACATGTGAGGCATTCCTTTTCTTGCAGCTGCTGATTCGCGCTCCGGCCTGAGTTCGTCCGCCGACACCTTTTCTGACTGACGGGGTTAACACAGTCCGCCACGCGTTCGATAACTCCACCCCGTCTGTTCTGTTCACACAGTTATTAGTCTTAGTAATCTCGATCGCCTCAGCAATTAACCTTTGGTCTGTTGCTGGTAATCCCCTCCTAAGTATCTCGACATTGTCCCAATCAATCGCGTGTCCTGCCTCTAGCGCATGTACGGCCACCGCTGAATCTTTTAGTAGGGCCCTCTATTCAGGCTCATTTCTCGGTGGACGCGAAACGTACCTCTTGTGTTCTGCTATCCTTGTGCGTAGCTCTCTCGCTGTTTGACCTATGTACACGTGTTCACAGTCTTTGCAATGGATTTTATAAACACAATTTGTCGTCCTGTCTCTTGGAAGTGGATCCTTCAAACGCACAAGTGCTGAATAGAGCGTTTGGCCCTTTCAAAAAACCACTCTTATTTTCTCCTTGTTTAGTACGCGTCTGATTGCTTCTGAGGTTCCCTTTTTATTTAAATCCCCCAGTTCTTGATCCTCCTCCACTTTGCTTCAATAGTCGCTTGTCTTCTAGTTTCAACTCACACACAATCGCAGGGCGTCGCTCCAGTCCAGTCGACAAGTCTCTGTTCAACCAAGCAGAGGTCAGTTCGTCCGCTTTTCTTTGAAGTTCTCGATCCTCGCTAGGACTGACATGAGTCAACATGCACCCTTTGCTACAGATTGGCTAACAGGCAGCACTTGCCCGAACACTCGAGACCCTCTCGATCGATATCTGCTGCTTATCGGAAACCCGCCTGCAAGATGACCTGAAGGGCAGAGTGTATAATGCAACAGTCCTTTCAACCCTCTTATACGGTGAAACCTGGCCCATCAGGTCGACAGAGATAAAGAAGCTGGTTGCGTTCGACCATCGCTGCCTTCGCAGCTTAGTTCATGTCTGGTGGGAGCATCGCGTGAGCAATAAGCGCGTTCGGCGTCGCGTATTTGGTGCAGCAAGAGCTAGTGAACCGCTCAGCACCATTATATCACGCACCAGGCTCTGATAACTGAGCCACGCGTTGCGCATGCCATCACACCGACTCTTGCAACGTGCATTGTTTGTGCGCCGGGGATGCGGTTGAAAAAAGAGGAAGGGAGGCCAAAGGATGACTTGGTCGCTTCGAAGTTGGCGTCGGTTGGTGCATCCCGACTGTCTGGCTGGGGTCCTAAGGACGATGAACACGTTTGGTTGGACACACTTGTTGATATGGCGTGTGTTGAGTTTCTTTGTCACTCTCCTTCCGCTTAGGCTCCCGCTCCAACTACGATCTCTACTTTGCGGCACAATATCCGGCTGTTAGCTCTCCGGAACGATGTCCATCCGTTAATGGTGTGCCCCTGTTCCATGTTTTTTTCTTTTTTGTCCTGCGGCACAATAGCTGAGATTTATTCCACCTGCAGCTAACGTGTATAATGATGATGTTGGTCAACATCCAGAGGAAAGAACAACGTTTTCCCGAAAACTCTGTCGATACTGCATTTGCACCGTCAAGTCTTCCAATTTTCAAGTGTTCAATCGGTTTTGTTTGGTGAGCCACCGAAATATACGCAAACCATCGAATACCAGTGCATAATCGGGTTGACCTTAATGACCGACATTCGCGTACGTTGCCACCTCACCCGCGACTTATGGCTATGTGGCCAATTCGCGATCAACGCTTGGATGATGATGATGGAGGACACCAGGTAACATAGTTGCGTCCAGCGTGCCAAAAGCTCGTGCTACAGAGGAAACTCTAGTAATCAGCACAAAGACTGGGTAATTTTTCTCCGTTGTCGGTGTGTACATCACCATACCCATGCTGTCTTCCGAAGAGATGTTCACATAGCAGCAACCGACCGACACGTAAGTTAGTCTCCTAACATAACAATGATGTCTGTTTTGAGCGCCCTTAGGAACCGATCATGAAGGTTTTAATAAAACAGGCCCTTAAATGTATCCGCTGAAGTCAGTGGATGAAGAGCACTGGGAGAACACCTTGGTTGATTCGACATCTGCTAGTCTGACAAGAGCCATGAAGCCTCAACGTACAAAAACGACGGATGGAATCCAGTCAAGAAGAACGGCCTCGGTTCTAGCACTGAATTGTGATCCCAGCACTAGCATGCCCAGATGCGGCAGACTCCGAGTCACCAGGAAAGCGGAGGTGGAAATGACAACCGGTAGACTGTTGGAATCCTGGAGCCGTGTCTCAACCAAGCAAGAGACGTCGATTGCAGGAGTCCTCAAGGTGTGCGCAATTCCAGCTTGTCGCCCGATCTGCAGTAAGGTGCGCATATTGAATGTTGCTAGCTTGAACCAAGTTCCCAGCTGCCGAAGCGACTGTGGGAGATTTTGTGGCTGATTGTTCCCTGAGAAGCACTGTTTAACTAACTTGGTGGATGTTATGGGCAGGTTGTTCACCGTTGAGAAATCAGGGGCGAGCGGTGCAAGAGAGACGTGTGTTTTGTAAAGTCGTCTCGGTAGCAGCAGTGTAATCCATCACAAAAGCGAGAGTGTATTCCAGTGGTTCATCAGCAAGTGTGACATCGCTCAATTGCCTGGGCCACCCCGGGCTTTTGACCAAAGGAGCTAACCCACAAGGCAACAGGGCGAAATAAGGGTTTCACAACTGTTAGGAGCCGATGACTGATCGCTCAGTTCGAATGACGATAATCGGCCCAACACTCCTGATGTTAGAGGCAAAACGATACTCTGATCGCCTGTCGATATACATGTCTACAAAGAAAGAACAGCGAATTGAGTTAGTGGCGAGTCACAATCGCATTGTTAAGCGGATATTTATGTCTTTTTATTGGTAATTTACGCAGGCTTGCGTTCTTTAGTGTAAACGCAGCCACCGAGACAGGCGAATTGATCAACTACGTTCAATCCCTTGTCAAGTGACCGTTGGTCTTTCAGCAGCAATTCACACTGAAGCGCATACCAGAACGTATATCTAGATTCTTCCCGTGAAAGAATTCAATACCTTCGTGAGACTACAGAACGTAAAAAATTCCATGGAAATAAAATTGGGCAGTAATGGGGAAGCTGGTAGCGCACTTGGTGTCGGGAAGGTGTGTGGTGACTCCCTACAGATGCTGACGCAACCCGCGTTCAAATGCCGGACATGTAATATACATAGCTGATCCACATCAACGAAGCGCCTCACCTACTTCAGTCGCCCTGTTTGCAGAGTAATTGATGCCCCGATGAGCGCGACGTTTTTCAGTAGGAGCTGGACAACCTGTCCATGTGGTCTACTGAGGTCGATCTGCCAGGCAACTCAGTTAAATCGTTACATATGAGCTTGAGGAAGGGTGATGGGCGTACGTACACTCTAACTGGCCTGCCTCTATATCCTACACCTTCCGTGAAGGCTCTCGGCGTACTCACGCTGCAATTTGAAGCACGTAGATAACATGGACAAGTTTAATAGAAACGGACTACGCATGCTTTGGGCGCTCAACCGCAGCTTTTGCATCTGGTTTCGCTCCTTCTTTTCCATCATAAGACTGATGCTCGAGTACGGATTACCCGCTGCGAGGTGCAGAGACTGAAACGGGCTCAGCAATGTAGCTACCAGACTCAAACCCAATTTACGAGGTATATCGTGCGAAGACTGATGCAGACGCCTAAGGCTGTATACCCTGTCGTATCCTCAGTTTCGAATTGACCTCACAATAACGCACCGGATATTGCATCCGGGACACTTCCCCATGCTGAGGCCACTGCTGAACGCGGTACATTACCCAAAGCGGATACCTTCGAGCGGTTTGCCCGAGAAAAGAGTCCATACGAAATCGGTGTCGGAATTCAAGCAATTTCTAAACACTTATCTCACACGCAGCTGTATTGTGTTGCAAACGCGCAGGAATCATTGACGTGCTTCCGCGCACGTGCCTGATCTACGATGGAGCAACACAGATGTATAGCTGCTAGCTTCTTATTCCCCGTATTCAGTTCACATATCTTATGGGAACATGTCTGTAAAAATATATGCGATACAACGAGGCGACGATCGAGTGACCATCTGGAATTGGTGAGCAGAGCTACAGCCAGCACGCCTGACGCTGTTGCGGTACGTGTCGCTGATTTAATATACATACGCAACCATCTCATAGTCAGAGCTCTGTCCGCTGATTCCTGTCCCGCAGTAATGCAGCGAATAAGGGCGGTGCCCAGTGGTTATGTCACCACTCTGATGCCAAGTTGTGATCCGAGGTAGCGAGTCTGCGTTTAAATGTTTTACTCAACGAGCAGTGCGCTTTCTTGTTGAAAATTAGGGTATGTGTTCTGATTGTCTTGCTTACGATTACTGCATGGCACCAATGGCCTGCGTAGGTTACTATATGGTACTGCATTCCCAACTGCTTCGACCTGCCGATCCATCACTCGCCAGTCCTCGTTCTATATATCACCTGAAAACTGTTTCGGTTGCGTTGTTATATAAACCAAGAGGAACGCTTTTGATTTCCATTGTCTGGTGCTGTCACGACTGAACAATCTGTTAAGACTCGCACTCAAAGTGTCCCAAAAACCAATGAGTCAGTTGGTTAGGCGAAAACTTTCATCACATTCGGGCGAACTGTCGTTGCAACTATAAAGGAGCGATTTGCACTTATTTTGTTGCTCCGAGGTGACCAGACCGTTTTCCAATCAAATCGATAGTCTTAAGTGTGTTTGAACTCAGCGATTTTGCATCAATCGCTAGCGCGATGGGCATTAATGGCTGTATAACTTTTGTTTCCACAGGAGACGGCGTCGGAGAGCATCCCACTCAAGCTTTGCTGGACGTCTTCACAATACGAGAGGAAATTGGCACAGTTAACGGGCTGACAGTCACTATGGTAGGTGACTTGGCTCACGGAAGAACTGTGCACAGCCTTGCACGATTACTGTGTTTGTACAACGTGAGACTCCGGTATGTGACCCACTGCGACGAACTTCGGATGCCGGACGATGTCAAACAGTACGTCTCTTCCAGAGGCATACCTCAAGAAGAAATGAGCGAGTATGTGGTGCATTTCCCTCCGTTCACTGTTTGCATAAGTGTTTCATTTTACCGAGATGTTCGGTCACAAACGGTGATGCACCTGAATCTCGCTTACTCAACCCCTGGTTCGAATAGCTTCAAGTAGTTTCACCCATTTATACAGTAAGGCGCTACCTGAAAAGCTCCGGACAACAGTAGCAGCGCGCAATCACCTGGAATCCGATGGGATTTCAGCCAACGAGCTTGTAGACAGCAACATGTTCAACATGAGTAACTGCTCGAGCAGCTTGTGAAGTCATAGCTCTGGGTCCGGCCCTGTCCTACGCATGGCAATGTTGTGTGAACAAGCATCTTACTGCAGAGTCTGCTACTTGATCCTCCGCTGCCATCACACATGGTCCAGTGGCAAAAGCCAAATCTCGAAGCACTCGGGGGTAATTCGCGCTACTGTTGGATTCAAATGGGTGACTGTATGACTGAGTCCAGCTGCGAAAAACGACCTCCCTATAACTCACCAGTTAGAATAACTACTTATCTATGCATTACGATTCAAGTTCTCCCACAAACCCGACATTATGCATGCTATCTGATTTGTTTGTGAAACACAGGTCATGATTTTCGTATTTAGAGATCAAGAGATGCGCGACAGGCGTCTATCGTCTTCTCAGAAAATGGCATGAAACTGGTTACAACATTTATATGCTGTTCGTTCACTCCTCAAAATAGTTGATTTTTTAAACCCATTCATTTTGCTCATTTTTTTGTTATCATACACTAGACTCAGTGGCCATCATTCGATCTCAGTTCACCGCTCATACTGTAATTTTTGACCACTTTGGTGGCACCTGGTCTTGTACCATTTCAACTTGCCGTCCATACCCAGAACTTCACTGTTTATGCGAACTATGCTGGTCTCATTGTTTCCCGTTGTGTGTGAGAGAATTAGATAACACACCTGCCCATTATTCCAATATACAGTCTGGCCGAAGCACTCCCGGACACCGATGTTTTATACATGACGCGGATACAAGCTGAACGAATGAAATCCGCGAACTCCCTCACCGCACGGCAATTCGTGATCACTCCCGAACTAATGACGCGTGCCAAGAAATCAGGCATGATTGTGATGCATCCTCTCCCACGAGTCGGGGAAATCAGTCCGACATTCGATTCGGATCCCAGAGCAGCCTACTTCCGACAGGCGGAGTATGGGATGTACGTGCGCATGGCCTTGCTAGCTACTCTGCTAGCGCATCCGACGCAATGAGCATTGTATGGTGGTAACTTTTCCGATCGCCTCTTATTGTTGATTTTTTACATCAATTTTGTTCCGCGCCTTCTCTGTCGCAACCGGATTTCTTGTCAAATACAGAGAACTCTGAATCAAGTGACTTGTTCTTTACGGCAACATGCGCATAGAATTGGGGCCAAGTCGGTCTACTACTAAAAATGCAGGACAGCGCAATAGCTGTATTCACTCTGTAATTCGATCCAAACACGTACAAGCAGCTGTGCGCGAGTAGGGCAGATGTGGTTAAGAGGTCGATTCTTGGTGTCTTCGCCAACCGTGGTGTATTGCTGAATGAACATTTGTCAGGAGAGATAGAAACGAAAGAGAAGGCATCGGCAGTATGCTGGTTCGTCATACCGACGCCTAGCTGCCACCAGCAACGGACTAGGGACACTGCGAAGATGGACGCAGCTATGCAGATTCGAAATAGAAGTATTTGGATTGCGAGAGTAGCTGGACGTCCGAATGAGGGGGAGGACACCTGGTATACAGAAAATTTTTATTTCAATTCTCAATAGTTGCATGTACAAAATCACATTCTGCTTCGGAATACGGGCAACCATCTGGGTGGTTTGTGAACATCCAACAAGGTTTCGTTTTCCGTTTCGCCGATTTAACAGTTGGCCTTTGTATGGCAGGGATCACAACATTAGGTTTTGCTATTTTCTCTGGCAGCCAGCGAAGACGTACCGAACCGCCAACGACTGATTTAAAATTAGAAAACAAAAAGAGATGATACGATTCATTTGCATACAAGCCGGTGTCAATTAAGAAGTGCGTTGCCGTCATTTTAAGCACCACTACCACACGCAGGGAAGGTCATCAATAAAAGTGCAAAAGATGTTACCGCCAAACGTATGACTTACCGTTGAATGCTTGATAATGATTGCGTAGTAAAGTCTGCAAGCCACCATGTTGGGTTTTCATCGCTGCAAGATGTTCCTGTGGTATCATTTTTGTGATTTCACTCAAACTGAGATGCCCTAGAAAAATGTAAACCGTCGGATTTGTTACTCATTGAAACATGTGGTTATGTCCATGGAAATGAGATAACTTGAGGTTGCGATAAAACCTGTTGCATTTACAGGATTGACTGAGGCGACGGTACGCTAATAAAACCGGAACTGAAGATGGTCCAGATGACATGAACCGGACTGTTTCATTTGTTCGCTACTTACGTAGATCGGTTCAGATGGCGGTGGCCCTTATGATCCCTAGACTCGATGACCTGACCTGACGGAAAGGCATCAGCAGCACGCCGGCACATTGTATCGGCACTTCGCTTCAACGTGACTACCACCAGTCGCGCGCGCCTATGCTGATTCTAACTGGTGGTCTCCGGATCATAAGGGAAACCGGCCCTAATCTGACGGATCTCACAGGTCTATGGACGAGCACGGTTTGGTCAACCGAGGAATTGAAGCAAATCACGTTCGGTCGCCACCAATGCTCCATGTGAATAAATTCCCGTTATGGTCATGACAAGGTGAAGAATCATCACACAGGCATCTTTTGGCTGCGTTAGCCTGATCGCATTCGCTTCGTCTGTCTCTAAGCCTCCTGGATATCGCTTCGGTCAGAAATAGACGACAAGTTTACGACCACTTCTGATGAGGTCGATCCATCTGCGAAAACCCCGGTAAACACTCCCGTTCCTGCTTCCTATTTTGCTGGTGCTTCACGTATTAACAGATCCAGTCTGCGCGGATGTGGGCGACTTCGCAGTACCCCAGTTCACATACAACTGTCTAACGGTTGCATGGTAATGGAGCACCGGCGAACTGCTGAAATTCACACCTTTGCAGCACAGTCGCTCTTGCCAAATAAGCTTTTGTCAGCGTGTCAATGAGGTACACGGCTTGTGTAAGGGTTTCGTGATTTTAATAGAATAACAAGTCATCATTTTGGTTCGTCGTAGCAGCTTCTAAATCAAATAGCCCTCCACATGTCCAGAATAGTACTAGACAGCCGTTTCGATCTGTTGGGACTCGTCAGTGATGCGCATCCACTGGATCCGCCAGGGCCCGAACCGGCGGCTTGCACCGCCAGCCAGCAGTTTGTGCCACTGAGCCACGGAGGAGTGCGGCACACCGTGACTTGCAAGCTAACTGCGAGGTGGAACATCTCAGTATACATACGATTCATGGAATATACAACCAAACGTGGGTGATGTGTAACAAGGTCTTGAATGGCAGTAAGCGGTGACGACAGATGTGCGTCGGAAGGTGGTGTGCATGGCTTCGGAACGCGCGGCCTTCAGTTAGTGCATAACTGCAAAGCTCATGTTGGAAGCGACAGTTCTGATTTCATAACGACTGTGGGTTTAATAAATAGTTTGAAAATAGACACACATCTATCAAAATTTACCGCAGAAGAAATTTTTCATATGGGCCGGACATCTCAATGAACATTGCACGACAGAAATGTACCTCCGGGATTCCACCAACGCCCGTCGGTCGTACGAATACGACCGTCATCGGAAACCGTCAGGTTCCACATCCTCAACTCGGGTTCGTCAGGCGGCTGACTTAGAAGCGCTGTAAAGACCAGGTCACAAACGGAACGCTTTACATCGAGTGGCAGTTGGGTGCAGTTGAGAACGGGTTCCGTGGCGTCACGCGGCACGAAAGTGGTTGCGGATGCGGCGACCTTCTCGGCTTCCACTATTTGCTCGATTTTTGCAAGTCTTTCCGTCTGACTCGTAGAGTGGAACTTCCGGCCAACAATGCAGATCTGAAATACAAAATCAAAAAAAACTGAACAAACTCGACAGGGGCTCAATATGAATGGCTTTGGAGAATTCAAGCTATTCTTGATCTCATAGCGGCAAACAATGATGAGGCGAAAGAAAGGAATGAGAAGACGGTCATCATAGCCAATATGCAGATAAGGCGCTTACGCAGCTTGCCCTAGGAAATCCTGAAACGTCCGGAGATCTAGCAGTAAAACCATCAAACTAAAACCATTTATTTAATCACTGACGAAGGGTTTGCCAAAAATGAGACGACAGTATGGGTGACGACCCCATTCTCAGTGAGTCCTGAAAAGTTGCCTAGTTCCTGCCGTATGCAGCTGGACGATGAGCTAGCCCGTTGGCCACTGGCGCGGTCAGGTACCTATGGGTATGAGTGGTCAGAAAAGGTGGAAAGGTTCGACAACACTTCCGTCACAAACAGCGGTACAGAGATGGTGGACTCATTCAATAGCTCTCGCAATAAGCAGCAAAATCACAAAGAATGTCATATCGAGTGAACGGGTGTGCACCGAATATTAACTGTTCGAAACGAGGGAGAGGTCTGGACTCGTAGATGGAAGAATTGTTCCTCTGCAGACGAGTGAGTAGACATGATGGATGACGTCGGGTAGATGCAGTCTACCTCTTGTAAGACGATGGACATAAAACGCGCCACCGAAGCTATCTGCTACAAGCAGGACGGTGTCAAAAAATACCGGCCTAAAATTCAGAGTGGGTAGAAAGAGTTAACATCAGCTGAGTACTAAATATTCTCATGAATGCCCTTGTGTTAATTCCACAAAAAATCCGATCCTTTTGCAATCGAGTCTCCGTGAGTACCTTTGAACATTTCAGTAGGGAGGGCCAGATTTGATGACAGCAACGGGTAGATATGGCTAGGCAAAACCATAGAGTGTATTTTGAGGGCTGTTACCTAGGAGATTTGGTACAATAAATTCACTTCAACTGCTAGTGATGTACGTGTCTGAACTGGCCGATTCAACACAATTAAAACTGTGTTACACCGGAGGGAAATCAAGAACAATGGAAGTATATCGTAAAATGGATTAGGTTGCTCATCTGCGGTTGTGGTGTTCTACATCTCGAGGAAAAGGAATCGGAAACCGATTCGAAACGCATATCCCGTTCTACACACAGAAGCGGGCAGTATCGTTTGCTGCTGGTGGTAGTGGCGGTTAATGCAAAGTTCACTGACTTCTTATTTTTACAGGAGAGGGCAGTGACGTAAGTGCGCTATCATAAGCAGCACTAAAACCAACAACACTCAAAACGTTGGTTGATTTGTAGGAATATCTCATGCGCTGAATCGTACAAAAGTGTTCTTATTAGACGATTTGGCCCAGTTTCAAAGCCAACTGTTAACCTTGAGATAAAACGAGGCTGCTCCAATCTGAATAAGCAATCCTTACGAATGTGAAATTCGCAGTGCCAGTAGTCACTGCGGGAGTGCACGTTGTTTGTGTAGCGAATGGAGCATATCAAATACTAAGAATCACTAAATAATCGACTACATCAACTTCGCACGATTAGGATTTGTGCTGATTCGCCTAGAACAAACAGGCTTCGACTTCTGTTATGAATCAAATGAGTCGCCTATTTTAATGACCTCTAGTAGAGGTATAAATTTATCCTGCACGTCTAAACACAAGATGACCGTGTGGGTCTCTTTTATCACCCGGTTACATTTTCTATATTGACCGCGAGCGCCCGAACGGACAGCCAGGCTCCAACACTTAAAAATGCGAGTCCCTGTTGACATTTGGTTCAGAAGCATTGCAATACAGTTCCACGGGAGATGTGATTCAATTCATGCAATATAGACTGCGCTCGTCAATTGGTTGGATTTCGAATCGACATTCGAACCTCCATCGTACCTCTGGTCGATCGGTTAGCAACTTGGATCTGTTGAGTTCACTTCAGATGCGCACTTAACGGCGTCAAACTCTTCGGAGAGGTCAGAATCAGTCGCACCACGAGTTCCTTAAAATGGAAAATATCCACATAAGAGTGTGTAACGCCCCAGTGTTTTGAACCTTAATGAACACGCCAGTCGCTCGCAGTATCACAGTCATCAGTTGTAATGCTGACTCCATTCCTGCATCTATACTACGTCCGATCCATCTTAGACCATATAGGTAAAAACGTGAGCTAACCGGATCTTAACTTCCTCTGTCATGCCAATAGGTTGCTACTTCCGATGAACCAAGTTGAGCCAGGTGACTGTGACATGTGCGCACCGTCGTGCGGCTGTTTCCTTAGCCAAGCGCTGTCAGCCAATAGCATGTCGAATGCATAGTAGACAGCAACGTGTAGCGTGTGCGAGGCACGGGTGTGTAGGGGAATCACTACGACAGGCGGGAGTTTGCTCGTGTGCGACTAATCACATGGGCAGTGACGGATTACATGACGGGGGATGGGGGTAGCAACTGGTTAATATCTGAGGTCACCCACAGCAGGCTAAGAGGAAATGGGGTCAGTGTATGATAAGGAATTTGAGCGCGATTCACAGCACCATTATAACAGCCTGTTATCTAATAGGGACACGAGCTACTCGCATTCTGACACGGCCGACAATCCGTGTTACTAGGCTAGACCCCAGGTGCTTGTCCGTACTTTAGTCACACCGCTAAATCGCATGTGCATCGGCGGACATAGACATGGTGCGATGATCGCAGCTCAGAAAGCTTCCCGGCGTCTTGCGTGTGCGATGGGCAACGTATTAACGTGGACAATAAGATTGTAATGCAGCAGATATATGAGTTGTTTTAGCGCATTTTCCACGGCTAGCCCGCAATGCGCCTCAAAACAAAGTATAAAAGCTACACTGAGTATTGTTTAGTAGGAGCAATGAAGTGAATGCTCAACGAGTCCCGTAGGTTGGTAGGGTGTAGACCAAAAAATCCAAAGATGATAATGAAACCACAGTTAGGCGCATACAAATGCTGCGATGATATCATGATGTGCTATGGGTTCAAGAGTAGTGATGTAAGACGAGGCTGAGAATGGGATGTCTACACAGGGAGCGGTTTACGGGCTCGTTGTACGCCGTCGCGTGCTCTCGCAGATTGCGAATTGATTAATGCCTTCCTACTGAGGGCAAGTGTGAATGAGTCTCACTTGTTCCGCAAGTGTGTTTAATAGGCAGCCGCGGGCAATCAGCGCAGCATCTCAGAGCGTGGAATGTTCGAGGCTGTCCATCTGGTTATGCATTAAATGCCACAAAGCCAATGTTTCCGGATATAGGATCAGTGACCAACCACATTTTAATCGGAATGAAGTACCTAACGGAAGGTGGATGAACAACCTCGATTACTACTCGCTTCTCTGTGGACTAACATCGACCACTAAGAAGGCGTTTGCTTCATTTGGCTGTCTACTGTGCTCGCATTCAACAACGAGTCGGATGTCTCAGACAAATTTTCACGGTCTTTTTACTACTATACTCATACTCTTCCGGCGCCATAGGTAGTTTTTCGCCACTCGATAGTCACGCTATCGGCTCTCGACGACTAACGATATACGTTAATCGCCACGCTGCTTTTCGCCTAAGGGCTTTAAGAACTAACGCGCCGGTTCGAGTTACATAAGTGCACCCCCTTCCCCTACCTGGGTAACTGAAAACCTCTATGTGCGCGCACAACACATTTGGACATGAATTTACCTCATCCTCGGATTGTTTGCAGAAAACATGCGCGCCACACTTATCGGAAGACATAAGTGAAGAAGCCGCGGACCAGGCTGGTGTACGAATTGTGTTTACTGCGCTCGCAGTAGCAGCGTTACTTGTTTTGATTCTAGTTAATAACTAATCCTGTGCAATTGAACTAGAAGTCTCCATACTACTGTGCAGCCGCGAGGTAACCAAACACTGTTTGGCGTAACAGTACATATTCCCACAGGTTACAGCCCAGACTCAGCTGAAGATGAGTTGTACCGTCAACTCTCCGACCTACTCCATAAGAATCATGGCAAGGAAATCGTGGTTCTCATCGGAGACCCGAGCTCACCGGTTGGTAAGCTCGAAGCTTTGGAACAAGATGTCAGTAGTCTGGATTGCTATGGTATTCGCATGAAGGATGAAGAAAGAAAAAGGCATCAGCAGTACGCCGGTACGCAGCACCGACACCATGCTGCCGTACAACCACTACCGGTCACACGTGGGCTAAGGTCGTCTTTTTGACCACGCCCAACGCCTGGGTGGCCGCTTTGGAGTCGATGTACGCCGTACAGACAAGGGGATCATTTCGCTGCTAGCCATCGTCATCAGAATCAGGGAGTCGAAGTTTTGTTACGACGCTGTTGGCCCGTATGAGTGTTTCAGAGTCGCAGCACACATAAACACCTAGCGTGTGAAGTGTAGAGGCAATGCTGCTTGCTGATCGAGGTGACCAACAGTGCGGATGTGAAAAGAACCAATCAGAAGTGAAACTCTAGGCTTGATGGTAGCAGCTGCGAAGTGAACGGCAGTATCTTGCTAAATCGATGGAAGAGAGGGGAAATATAAGTAAAAAGCAAGTACAGGGAGTATTGTCGAGGTTATCTAGAGGTTAGATGATACTCTGCGGCTGCCTATTCCGAGACGTGGATTATGTAGTTGGATTAAAATGCGATCGCCCATCGCATTCCTCCGATATATATATATATATATATATATATATATATATATATATATATATATATATAGGCGCAACGAGAAAGTGCTGCTAGTGTCACCTGAAGGGGATCGTAGAGTGAGCACAGAACTCGGGTCTTGCAGACGGGTCTCCCATAAGCAGCAAATATCGATCGCGAGGGTCTCCAGTGTTCGAGCAAGTGCTGCCTGTTAACCGATCTGAAGCAATGTGTGAACATTGAGGCATGCCAATCTGAAGGAGGATCGAGGGCTCCAAATAGAAGCCGATGAACTGAGCTTGACCGCTTGCTTGGACATGGGCCTGTTGACAGGGCAGGAATGACGCTCCGCGCTCACATGTGAGTTGAAACTAGAAGGCAAGCGACTATTGAAGCAAGGTAGGGGAGGGCCGAGAATTGGGGGTTGAAAACAGGGGGATAAAAGTGAAGCTGGAACGGGACGGTAAGAGAGAAAAAGCGTAAGAGGGGGAATAAGAAGACGGGAAGGCTTGAGCAGTAGCATCCAAACCCCTATCTACCCCGCCAGATGCAGCAGATAGGGCACCGTTGATTATCCTCTGTGGTGGCCAGAGCATCAGCAATTTGTTTGAAGTGTGATTCATTGTATTGCGTGGGCAGAATACTGTCAAGTTGCCCAGGCCTAGACAGGAGAACGATTAGGGTTCCAACCAAAGCCTTTGGTTCAAAAACCTGTCCGCAAGGCAGCGGGTTTGGCATTGGGCTACAAGGAGTCCGTTTTAAGGAATAAGGAGCAACCCTCATTCCAACCTCCAACCTGGAGGACCAGGAGGCTGAGTTTGTCTGGCCTCTAAACATGGACCAATCTGGTATGAGTGGCTCTGAAGATGCAAAAAATGCACCACCCAGTATAGCTCAATGGATCACAGAGGCACACAAACCATCGCACCACGGTAAGGTCCAGCCTCATTGCGATGTGTTGTGCGCGCACATAGAGCTTTTCAGTTACTCAGGTAGGGGAAGGGGGTGCACTTATGTAACTCGAACCGGCGCGTTAGTTCTTAAAGCCCTTAGGCGAAAAGCAGCGTGGCGATTAACGTATATCGTTAGTCGTCGAGAGCCGATAGCGCGACTTTCGAGTGGCGAAAAACTACCTATGGCGCCGGAAGAGTATGAGTATAGCGGTAAAAAGACCGTGAAAATTCACCTGAGACATCCGAGCCGTTGTTGAATGCGAACACAGTAGACAGCCAAATGAAGCAAACGCCTTCTTAGTGGTCGATGTTAGTCCACAGAGAAGCGAGTAGTAATCGAGGTTGTTCATCCACCTTCCGTTAGGTACTTCATTCCGATTAAAATGTGGTTGGTCACTGATCCTATATCCGGAAACATTGGCTTTGTGGCATTTAATGCATAACCAGATGGACAGCCTCGAACATTCCACGCTCTGAGATGCTGCGCTGATTGCCCGCGGCTGCCTATTAAACACACTTGCGGAACAAGTGAGACTCATTCACACTTGCCCTCAGTAGGAAGGCATTAATCAATTCGCAATCTGCGAGAGCACGCGACGGCGTACAACGAGCCCGTAAACCGCTCCCTGTGTAGACATCCCATTCTCAGCCTCGTCTTACATCACTACTCTTGAACCCATAGCACATCATGATATCATCGCAGCATTTGTATGCGCCTAACTGTGGTTTCATTATCATCTTTGGATTTTTTGGTCTACACCCTACCAACCTACGGGACTCGTTGAGCATTCACTTCATTGCTCCTACTAAACAATACTCAGTGTAGCTTTTATACTTTGTTTTGAGGCGCATTGCGGGCTAGCCGTGGAAAATGCGCTAAAACAACTCATATATCTGCTGCATTACAATCTTATTGTCCACGTTAATACGTTGCCCATCGCACACGCAAGACGCCGGGAAGCTTTCTGAGCTGCGATCATCGCACCATGTCTATGTCCGCCGATGCACATGCGATTTAGCGGTGTGACTAAAGTACGGACAAGCACCTGGGGTCTAGCTTAGTAACACGGATTGTCGGCCGTGTCAGAATGCGAGTAGCTCGTGTCCCTATTAGATAACAGGCTGTTATAATGGTGCTGTGAATCGCGCTCAAATTCCTTATCATACACTGACCCCATTTCCTCTTAGCCTGCTGTGGGTGACATCAGATATTAACCAGTTGCTACCCCCATCCCCCGTCATGTAATCCGTCACTGCCCATGTGATTAGTCGCACACGAGCAAACTCCCGCCTGTCGTAGTGATTCCCCTACACACCCGTGCCTCGCACACGCTACACGTTGCTGTCTACTATGCATTCGACATGCTATTGGCTGACAGCGCTTGGCTAAGGAAACAGCCGCACGACGGTGCGCACATGTCACAGTCACCTGGCTCAACTTGGTTCATCGGAAGTAGCAACCTATTGGCATGACAGAGGAAGTTGAGATCCGGTTAGCTCAAGTTGTTACATTGATGGGAAATGGTATAGTTGTTAATTTTCATTCCTACCCGATTAATTTTGAGCACTATTGTTTTGATTCCATTTTCTGCGTATTCTATTTGCATTCAACATCGTGTTTTTCCCTTGTTATTCATTGTGACGTGATTTGTGGCAAGTGGATCCACAGCACTTCGGTGCCTGGATCATAGTTCTTCAACTAAACTCAACTGGCTTCGTCCTCTGCTAGTTCGATGATCAAGCTGGTTTCTGTACCCCATGGTGTGATGGGAGTGTCAGATCAGAGTGAACGGATGGACCAACCGAGCGAGCAAGACTGCCAATAGGAGATGGGTGTAACTTATTCGATTACTGGACTCGGACTGGCCGACATGCATGTGCGTTATTCACTGTTTGTTCAACTGAGTCAAAGGAGGAACCTCATAGACTCATAGGGGGTCGTTAGTTATGATGTGAACGTGCAACTTATTTTAAGAAGTTTGGCTTGCCAAACATGCTATAATTTTAGCTGAGTTAACTTTTCTGAATAAACGCTTGTCTCTGAAGGACTGAGTTCCGCAACACATGGTACCGTTATCGGCCCGGGGACTTAAGGGTCACAAGTCCACCTTGTAATTCGGAGGTCGCGGGTTCGAGTCTAAGTAGGGAGCCGGGCGACCCTCGCAATGTCGTTAGCTCACGCTCGAATGGCGGTAGCTGTGCGGCAGCGAAGCGTTGGTACTGCGTTCCGGCGTACTGCTGATGCCATTTTTACAGTAGCACTAACGCACTTATGCAGGCATCGTAATCCGTTTCGGTTAGCTAAACGTATCCAGCGTAAGTGAATTGTAGGGAGTTTGGTGATTAGAACGCTGTAGTTGATCGTACGACTGTTTGTTACTGAAATCCCATCGAAGCGAACCGAAAGGTCACCGAAAATCTGTAATGGCAGATGAAAGCTAGAGAGGACCGAACAGATGGAAGGGCATTGGAACAACAATAACCAGACACCAATTGTATCGGTTGATGGCACGGGTATTTAGTGGAAATCACATGGGATTTGACGACCGATGAACGACGGGCTCAAGAGGACATCTACAATGCCCAACAAGTTCTGAGGCAGAAATGTGCGTGCCCCGTACAGTGGCGAAATTTGAACAACGTCTGGCCAGCGGAAGTCGGGTAAGTGCCGTAGTAGGCGTAGAACAAATCGCACGCAGTATTACAGGCAAACAACCACGGCTTGATGAACGATTTGGATAACAGGCGGTTACGTGGTTAAAAGACTTTGATGACAGCGCAGCAGGTGACCTGTCCTTAGGTGACTATTCAGAAGATAAAAAATCAGTAGTTCCTCGAAATATCAGTGGTGACAGTGATGCTAAAGATGCAATTGACTACGAAGTGATAAATTTAGGAGAGGATCCTGTGACTCACCCGTCTTGTTGAGGGTATTCGTAATACATCCCGTTCTGGGACGAATCCACACAGGTGGAAAAGCTTCTCCAAGTAGTTGATATACATGCCATAACGGCTCCCCGATTTAGGAGCACTCGATGTCGAAAGTTTAATTGATGTGGTATGACAGTCGTTCGGCGAAAAATTGTTGTACTTTCCATACAACCCAAAGGGACAACAGGGCAGAGCGAAGACTCGGCATGTGGGTCCCGATCGAGCAGCCAAAACGGGGAGCCACGGAGTCAACTCGTCACTATGGTTTCCAATTAACCAGTTGGCTGTTGGAAAACCGGGTGAGCGCTCGGCATACAGGGAAACTTCCTATAAAGATCCAAATGCACAATAGCTTAACAAATGCGTAGAGGAAAGTACGACGAATACACAATTATGAACAAAAAACGTGTCATATATGAATTTAAAAATGCCACACAATTGCGATATGCGTGCAACAGATAGGAAGAGGGAAAATCAGCTGCAAAGTGAATGGGAAAATAGCTTCAGATGTATATGCTTCAGAGCGACTCCCAACAAGACGTCGTGGACAATTTTGTCATCTTCTGTATATCGATACTAGCATGAATGTCTACAAGGATACAATTCTCCACGTAGGGTAAGAAACCCCTGGTATGATGGCGAGGACGCCCACAACTACACTGATTCGAAGCGGTGATCACTGGATTACAAGACAAGCGTGTAATCCTCTCGGTCATCGGCCGAAATCCGCGGTGAAATAGCAGTTCAGATGTAAGGATTGCGGTCTTTGCTCCCTGATCCTCCTTAGGTATGAGCATCCTTACAATAGCCCAGACAGTGCAAAACCCCTTGTGCTTGCATAACAATGATGCATCAGTACGAAATGCTAACGCATTGATGATATTTTTTCTTCCCATACATGAAAGTGAATGATGAATCTTTCAATTACTTAAAAAAAGCCGCACCACTAGGGCAAACAATGTGTTGGGCTCGGTCATCGCTGCGTTATACGCATTGTCGACAAACCAGGAGCGATGATCAAGGTAAAAGACGACTAGTTGGAAGCGAGTTTACTGGAATACCACTACGCAGAACACAGAATAGATACAATCGTATGGCGATTGCCAACTATCAGCGCCATGTCCAAGAAAGATCAGAGAACGCTGTACCACAAGTAACATATTGCGGCGGTCATCGGACTAACCAAAGCTGGTGCGTGGACAGTTGTGCATCGATATGACCGGTCGTAATTGCTAGTGTCGATATTACGAGGCATCCACCAATCGATAGTACATTTGGCTACCAAAGCGCAGGTGTCGGCGACCTCGCAGTATCCGTAAAGCGCTCGCGACTGGTGGTGGTGACCGCGTGGCGGCGAAGCGTCGATGCTGCGTACCAGTATACTGCGCATGGCTTAATTTGAGCAATCTGCTCTGTGTTTGTGCTCAGTGACACCAACACAATAAATATAGCAAACACTCAGCTTTTAACTCGATAGAATGATCCATCAGAAAGCGTGGAAAACAGTGCTTGTTCAAGACTCTATCCGAGGAATTTGGTCTAACAGTTCGATCCATAAGGAAGTGAAGAGAGACTAGAAATGTGATTATACAGTACTGAACAACAACAATAAAAGCAGTACATCTGCTATTAGAACTGATGTTTCGCTGCCGTACAACCATGATGAACAATGGAATGAAATAAGAGAGAGAGTAGGGGGACTTACCGCAAAACCTTAATACCCTAAGCAAGCATTCACTGTCACAAACAGCTGGCTATCGTGCAAAGATAAGGCGGCATCGTCGAGACAGCTTCCTTGCGGCTTTCACTGCCAAACGTCATAATCAGCCATTACTCCGCAGATAACTCAGCAACAAACACACTTTAGACAGGTAGTCCGGCTAGGAGACGGCAGCAGACGCGCCACTGGTGTCGGTTGCGAGTCATGTCCTGTAAAGTCTCGAGTCAAGCACAAGGTGAATCACGTGGACTCCAACCCGAAAGGCGAGACGGACCAACGGCACCCAGTTTGGTTGTCAGCGACTTCATTTCCCGCTGCTAAGGCAACCTTTGTCCACCTCGAGTCTTGCGCCACCCTACATCTGGCAAACTAAACAAGGCCCTCCTAGGTAAGCCGTGACCAGGCATACCTAGCATGTGCCCGAGCCAAGGCAACTTATCCTGTGCGATCTGCTGTTCTAGGGGGCTAGCATGTTTATCACTACCTAGTACTCGCCTATGCACATAATCGTTGCGGACACGCGGATGTCATCCGACACCCGCAATACTCTGCAGACAATGATAATCGAATACTTGAAGGCGTCCCAGAATTTCAGAGCGAAGTGGTCAACTCTCACTACCATAGAGCAGGACCGCCCTCACCATGGCCATGTAAACACGGCCTTTCAGATGGACAGAAGCTCTCTTCTGTCGCCAAAGAGGCCGCAGGTTCAAGAAGGCAGTTCTGGCTTTTGCAATGCGTGAACTGCAACGCGTGGGTTTTCTGAAAATACATAAGCCCGACGTTGCCGTTCGGTCCATTGTAGATGGTATCGGTTCTCCGACGTACGAACTAGTCCGGTATTTGGCAGGTTTGTTGCAACCTCTAACATGGAGAACAAATACGTCCGTACGGAACTCATATGGGCTCACGCGAAAGGTAGCGGGTCTGGCCATTGTACTAGACGAAATAATGGTTGGTTTCGACGTTAACTCCCTATTCATTAGCATGCCCAAAAATGACGCATTGCGGGTAGCATAACGTTGTCTGAATGAGGACAATAGTCTGGAGGAGCGAACGAACCTCACGGTAAACTAAATAATCGAAGGAGTAAAAGTATGCCTTAGTATGTCATATTTCACGTTCCAGTCAAGACTGAACCCTCAGGAACGGGGACTTGCCATGGGGTCACCAATATCTCCCGTGCTGGCAGATCTGTATATGAAAGACTTTGAGAGGAGGGCGCTGACAAACTTCAGTAGTTCGCCAGATTTGGTGGTGCTACGTAGATGATACATTTGGGATTATAAAGCGGAATATGAAGGAGTTTCTAAACCATATGGACCATTATTGAGTACATAAACCTTCTTACGGAAGTAGAATCTTGCAGTGGCACACTGTCATTCATTGATTGCTTAGTTCATAGGAAGAGAGGACGGATAAAAACGAAGATATATCGCAAACCGACAGATACGGACAGATTACTCCATTACAATTCGGGTCAACCAAGTAAGTCTATGCTGCTACCACATCTTCTCTGTTTCATAGAGCCCTGACTCGGTGTACAGAGGAAAGGAAAGATGCTCGTAAGGAGACAGTGGATATCCGAGGCGGTTAGTGAAATGCTAGTTGCAGAGATTTCTAAATCCACCTTCGCGACGCACGACGGAGTGGACTGGAACGGTAGGAATTCCCTATAAAAAGGAAACTTCAGAAGCAATCAGGCGAGTACTAAATAGGGAGAAATTAAGAGTGGTTTTTCAAAAGGATCAAACGCTCCCTTAGCACTTGTGCGTTTGAAAAATCCGCATCCAAGAGATAGGATGACCAACCGCGTTTATAGAACCAGTTGCGAAGACTTAGAACACGTGTATATGAGTCAAACAACGAAAGGCCTACGCACGAGGATAGCAAAATATAAGAGGTACGTTTCGCGTCCACCGAGAAACGAGCCTGAATCCAGGGCCCTACTAAGACATTCAGCGGTGGTCGGACACACGCTAGACGCAGGACACGAGATTGCCTGGGACAATGTCGAGATCATCAAGACAAGGTTACTAGGAACAAGCCAAAGGTTGATTGCTGAGGCAATTGGGATTACTAAGACTAATAACTGAGTGAACAGAACGGACGGGGTGGAGTTATCGAATGCGTGGCGGGCTGTCTTAACCCGATCAGTCAGAAAAGGTGTCGGCGGACGAACTCAGGTCGGAGCGTGAATCAGCAGCTGCAGCAACAGGAATGCCTCACATGTGAACGACCAGTGACGCGGATTAATGAAACACTCAATGCTTATTGTTACACTAGAATGGCCACTTGACCTATTGACCTGTAACACTTATCCAATGATTCGTGTTATTTCTTGCAATCTTCACCATACTTTTCCGCAAAAAAAACTAAGCCAATTGTGCACCTATTCACCTGGAGAAGCTATTGCGTCAAGGGCGGAACGTTGCTATAATAAAAAGCTACAAAAACAGATTTGTATTCAAAACCTATAATCATGAGATCCCAGTCGATTTCAAGCATATTCCGAGATAGTGATATCAGTCTCTATGTGCCCAACGTTGTTGATGCAGATGCCAAGTGAATCGATCAGTCAGCTTAAGTTCCTCGTTATGAAAGGTCAACGGGTCATCAAGTGGTTGGTGGTCCTGCAGCAACACTGCACGGTGAAGGTGCGAAGCGCATACCAAATAATGGAACCACTCTAGACAGACTATTTATGGTTGACTGGGCCGCCCCAACATCGTCAAAAAGCAAGACGATATCGTCCGCAAAATCAAGATCAACTAATCTTTCACCAGGCAGCACTTCAACGCCTACATTGTGAGATTCCGCAAGGGAACACTCCATGACAGAGTCCACGACGAAATTGACCAAAAAGGGAGAAATTGGACAACCGTGACGAACGCCACTTGTGGTCGAAAAGCTATCCGACAGGTCACCGTAGACTCTGAGGCGGTCTGTAATGTTCGAGTATAGGGAAAAAATAAAATAATGTGTCAGTTGTACGCAGTAACGGAGCTTCGCTGCCGCGCGACCACCACCAGCCGCACGTCGGTTGAGTATACCGCGAGGACGCCCAACCCTACGCGGACTCGAACCGGTGACCTTATGGTTGCAAACCACGCGTGCAGAGCACTAGGCCACCGGCCGACTTCGAGTTTAGAGCACAAAATGTTCACATATTTCGTGGGAACACCTTTCCGCGCAAGTATTTCGAACAGAATGCATCGATCGACTGAACGGAAAGCACACTTGAAATCGAGGAACACAGCTATTGTCGGTCTGCGGTATGCGTGGCGCTGCTCTAGCAACTGTCGCAAAGTGAATACAAGTCTATATAGCCACCTCCTGGGCAGAAACCTGC